TGATGTATGTTCAACTCCCGACTTTTGAAAAGCGGAGAACCTTATTAACTTAGGATCATCCTTTTTTTATGTGCAGTTGGCCAAATGCGATAAGCTTGATAACAACGTGATTTTGATTCGTGGTGGCAATCGAGGTTTAGGATGATAGGTTAGTCTAGAATTTTGGTTGTTTTAGGTTCCATGGGTTTGACTAGGGTTATGATGTACTGGTGAAGAAGGCTTCGTAGTTGCTAGTGAGGATATTGTCCGCTTTAGTTGTGCAACGTTGACCTGCTTTAATTTTTTTTCATTTGATCATTACGGTTACAATTAAAAAATCAGAGTGTTGATGTTAAATTGAATTCAAGTATTAGTCCATGAATTTGTTATAATATAAAGTATTGATCATTTTGAGTAATTCCGTTAGAATTTTAGTCAATTATTTGCCTTTTGAAACGCTTGATTTTAGAGTTTTAATGGTGTTATTAAAAAAATATGATTGCTCTACCCATAAATTTGTAGTTCAGTGACCAAAGCTTTAATTGGTCAAAATTCGAGGACCAATGTTCCAATTTTCTCTTACAACTAATGTCTTTGATATATTGTAAGAGAATTGTTATTGGCACTTCAAAATTTGCATTTTACATTCCAAACTTTCTATATTTAGAAGAAAAAAAAATACTTGTAATGAGTGTAGAAAGAGCTTTTTGGAGTGTCACATCCCGGCCCAGGCCCTCACCATATCCCGGGCTCGACTCCACCATAGCACGATATTGTCCGCTTCGGGTCCCTACCACACCCTCACAGTTTTGTTTCTGGGAACTCACACGAGAACTTCCTAGTGGGTCACCCATCCTGGGATTGCTTTAGCCCAAACTCGCTTAACTTCGGAGTTCCGATGGAACCGAAAGCCAGTGAGTTCCTAAAAGGCCTCGTACTAGGTACAGATGAAAATATACATATAAGGCTTACAGGATCCACTTTCATGGGCGATGTGAGATGTTACAATCCACCCCCCTTATGGGCCTGACGTCCTCGTCGACATACTTTCGGCCAGGGATTGGCTCTGCCATAGTACGATATTGTTCGCTTTGGGCCCCGATCACGCCCTCACAGTTTTGTTTCTGGGAACTCACACAAGAACTTCCCAGTGGGTCACTCATCCTAGGATTGCTTTCGTACGATCTCTCTTAATTTGTCGTTCCGATGAACTTCGAAGCCAGTAAGCTCCCAAAAGGTCTCGTGCTAAGTAAAGATGAGAATATACATATAAGACTTACAGGATCCACTCCCCTGGACGATGTGGGATGTTACAATCCACCCCCCTCAGGGGCCTGACGCCCTTGTTGGCACACTTCTGGCCATGGATTGACTCTGATACCAAACTGTCACGTCCTAACCCGGGTCCCCACTATATCCCGGGCTCGACTCCACCGTAGCACGATATTGTCTGCTTTGGGCCCCTACCACACCCTCACGGTTTTGTTTCTGAGAACTCACACGAGAACTTCCTAGTGGGTCACTCATCCTGTGATTGCTCTAACCCAAACTCGCTTAACTTTGAAGTTCCAATGGAACCCGAAGCCAGTGATCTCCCAAAAGGCCTCGTACTAGGTAGAGATGAGAATATACATATAAGGTTTACATGATCCACTTCCCTATTGTAATTGTAAACATGTTTGAAGTACGGTTTAAGCTTATCTAATGAATATGTGGCATGAAGTTCCTACAACGTTCGCTTTCAACAGGGTAACGTTCGCAAATTAAATTCATGATTTTAGGATAGGTGCTAATATTTTCATAATTAAGTTTATCCTTATGTCACTTAATACTACGATTTAGTGATATTCTTCTTCATTTTTAAGTGAGAGGTCCTAGGTTTGGTTCTCACTGATGGCAAATTTGAAGCACACTATTGCTGGGTCATTGTGAGGCTTAACTCACTTTCTTGCCCCCTTAGTGTAGATTAGACCTGGCATTTCAAACCCGACCCAACACGACCTGTTAAAATGAGTATTTGGGTGAGTGTTTAACGGGTCGGGTGGTTAACAGGTCACCTGTTAAATAACGGGTCATTTTGGGTGAATCCGTAAGACTCGTTAACCACCCGTTAACACCCGTTATTGAGGGATTTTGTGTAATTTCGATAGTCAATAATGAAACCCCTGCTGCTGTATCAGCACCTCCAACACATTTCTTTACTCTTGTCCTTCTTTGGTCTTCTTCTTCGAACTCAGCTGATGACAATTCCACAACAGAAGAATCACATGTCAAAATTCAGCTGATGACAATTCCATAGCAGAAGAATCACATGTCAATATTGCTGTTGCTAACGACGACGACGAAGATGATGATGATACTGAGTTGGGAGTCTCAGATTCGGGTTTTTCTCGAGATGTGAAAAGCATTGTCGACATCTTAAGTTTACGGAGCAAGTCGTTGGGCTCTAAGATGAAGAGGAAGCTAAATCAATGTGGCATAGCAACCTCGTCAGAGCTGGTGGTAGCGGTTCTTTCACGCATTCGCAATGATTGGGAAAGTTTGACACTGCTCACTCTCTCTTGATCATGATCAGGAGGTACTCTTGCGTTCATGATGTTGGCAAGGCTATCAATACTTTCTATGCTTATAAACGCTTTCACTTTGATACACACACACACACACACACACACACATACGATGTTAGTTAATGTCTGTAATTTTGGTTAAAAGATGTGTAATTTGTATTGGAATTCAAAATATAAAAAAATAAATAAATAATTGTTAACGGGTGTTAACGAATTACTTATTACATTAATGGGTTGGGTTTGGATGACCCGTTAGCTTAACAGGTTCGGTTCGGGTGACCCGTTAAATTAACGGGACCCAAACCCAGTAAACTCGACCCGTTACAGGTCTAGTGTAGATAATACCGTTTCTTAAAAAAAAAGTTTATCCTTATATTATGGCTATGTAATGATGGTTGGAAGATAATGAAATCATTTTTGCATCTGCCGTTGTCTCCAAACCCAGATTTTTGCATATCACAAAATTAATAATATACCAAATATGTAACCACCAAAATCTCTGATTTCCTTAACTGACGATTCGTACCACATCTGGGCTCAAGGCAATTCCTTAAATCTGCCAAAACTGATTAGATTACACCAAAAACCATAAGATACACCGTGAAACCATCACATGATGATAGTAATTCACGTGTCATAATATCAATGGTTGACAGACTTCTACACTCCCGATGCCTAGAGTATATTTTTAATAGATATATACGTGTTGCAAAATAACTGGATTGGTAACCCGATGTAGCAGAGTTACGGTCACACTGAATTATTTCTCCGCTGAGAGTGCCTATGCATTGAAGATTAGGCTGTAAATTTTACTTAATTTGTAGGATTTACTTGCAATATATGGGCTGTAAATACTTATAGGAGGAGCCATTGTCCCAAAAGCACAGTCCTCATCACTTCTAACCAAAACTTTTGTGTGATAAGAAGACCCTTCGGTCTCCTGATGGCATTGGAGTCTATGAATCATGAAGCTGCCAGTCCTAGACCTGACCAAGCTGACAAGCAGCAAACGCCAAACGGGAGCAGCGAAGACAAAACGAAGATCACGAGGCACCCTCGATGGACCAGACATGAGACCTTTGTCCTCATAGAGGGCAAGAGGGTCGTGGAGAATGCAGTCCAGAGGGGCCAGCGATCTACTTCAGCGTTGGGGGCAGAAAGTTTTGAACCCAAGTGGGATTTGGTCTCGTCTTACTGCAGGCAGCGCGGCATGAGCAGATTGCCGGTTCAGTGCAGGAAAAGATGGAGCAATCTGCTTGTGGATTTTAAGAAAATCAGGAACTGGGAGGCACAGATAGAGCGAGAGGCCGAGTCTTTTTGGGTGATGAGGAATGATGCGAGGAGGGAGAGGAGGCTGCCTGGGTTCTTTGATCGGGAGGTTTACAATGTGTTGGATGGAAGGGAAGTGACTGCAACGGAAGCCTGTCCACTGGCATTGTTTATGCCGGGGCAAACAGATGCGATGGATGGTGATGGAACAGAGGAGGCGGCTGCAGAGGAAGAGGAGGAGGAAGGACCTGAGAAAGATTTACATGGCGGTCGAGATGATATGGCAGAAGATGGATTATGTTCAGATTTTGAGGAGTCTGGGCAAGACAAGACAGTCAAGAAATCGAAGAACGAAAACATTATGCAGGAAAGTCCAACAAAAACAGTCACAACTCCAATGCCTAATTCAGGTGATTTATTTTCTTTGCATCAAAATCATTTCATTACAATTGTGAATCGTCATCCTATAAGCTTTCGGGTTTATGATTCTTCATCTGAATGCAAAAGGTCTATCTGAATACCTAGTCAAAACATAACACATTGGGCTTGAAGCAAACTTACAACTTGAATTTTGTTTATTTGTTGTGATTCGATTATACAGGGGCGGTAAAGGAGAAACGAAGTCTAGGCTCAAAGACTCCCGGAGAAAATATTTATCAGGAGAAATGGAAGCAGAGGCGGGTGTCGACAGATGAAAGCGAACACAGCAACAACATCGACCAGCTGGTCAAAGTTCTGGAAAGGAACAGCAACATGCTGAGTGCGCATCTTGAAGCTCATAACATAAATTGCCATTTGGAAAGAGAACAAAGGAAGGAGCAAAACAACAGCATACTCGCTGCTCTCGGCAAGGTCACAGATGTTCTAGCAAGAATTGCTCACAAACTATGATCAAACTTCGTGGTAAAGCGAAAAATCCTAGGAAGCTGCATACACATCTTTATCTTAGGCTCATTTTTATTTTCTTCTTGTACCAGTTGTTGACATAAAGCTATCAAATTTCTTTCTTCGAGTCTTAAGTGGTTAATTACAGACAACATCAGACTCCGTAAGAGATACACAGATCATTGTTAGCTTCGGAAACTTGATCGTTGCATCTGCTTACTGTTTTGGTTATCAAGTTTTTGCCATCTAGCTATGCAAATCGAAACCAGGATAATAAAATTTCAGAATTGCTTCTTGGGATCAAAGGCAACGACTTTAAATTTCATATAAAGACACAAAATTGTCATCATACAATTAAGATTGATACATGAACATCTAGTATATAAAGAGTACAAAAGCCATACATACACGAAGAGGATGAGATTCGTGAGAACGTACATGTAAATGAGCTTTACAACCAGTTAGAGGAAGATCCTAAGAATTTTCGGTATCAGAGCAAAATGCAGAACTCAAATATGGCACTCTTCCTCACTTAGCAGGAACAGCCTCGACCAGCCTCGAAAAATAAAATTGTGTAGTGGTTAGTCCTCTCTTCCTTATCCTCCACCCAACCTTCTTCAAGGCTCTCTCCACATCTGCCTCCGAATGTAGATACGCCCTCGTTGCCTTCGAAGGCCCCGGGAACAACTCTCCTATCCTCTTTAGCACATCATAATACAATGTCTTTGGTGCAAAACTTATAAGTAAGCGATTCTCCGCCAATGAAGCAAGATGGGCAATCATCCCATCAGCCTTGCTCTGCGGGTAATGAATCAAAACATCAAGACAGACCACTGTGTCGTACTTCCCATCCAAGCTCTCCAAATCCTTCACTTCGAATTTCGGCAGTACTGGCCCTGCCGAGAAGCCATTGCTTAACTTAAGCTGCTCTTTTGCCTGCATAAAAATCAAAACTTTGAGATTAAACCACAGTCACCACCCACCAGCAACTCACATTCAAGCAAAACTATCACCAAGAAGACTAAAGGACCATTTGGGACTGCTTCTGTAAGAAGCACTTCTGGTTATAAGTACTTCGGCTAGAAATACTTTTATTACAAAAACACTTTGAATTTTTTTCAAGTGCTTCTATAGAAAATGCTTATAGGACCCATATAATACTTAAAGGTTTTTGTGCTAAATGTAGTCAAAAGCACTTTGAGTGGTGGTAAGAAAGTGCGAGAAAGTGCTTTTAGACAGAAGCAGTCAAACACTAACCCAGATTAGCAAAATCCAATTCTACCATAACCCACATTGCCAATTTCCCCAATTCCATCGAATTCAACACTTATTTCCAAAACCCACAACCACAAAAAGCAGATTTTTTTTTTCAAAATCACTAATTCAAAACTCACCTGCCTCTCAGCCTCTGCAACCATGGCAGCTGAAATATCAGCAGCCGTGACAACCGCCCCTTCCTTGGCCAACGGAATGGCCAAGCACCCGGTCCCACACCCGGCGTCGCACACAGAGACCCCCTGAAGTGGGCCCTCATCGGTCAACATCTTCATCACATTCTCAACGGTCTTGGAGTGGCCGAGCCTGATGTCCCTCTGAACCCTGTTGACGTCATCCGTCTCTCCGTATATCTTCTTCCACCGCTCGAACCCGGACTTGTTGAAGTAGTCCTTCACGACCTCCTTGTCGCCGCCGCCGACCTCCTCAGCCTGGAGGCGGCGCCTGTTTTCTGGGTCCGATAAGGAGAGCGCGGCGGCGAGGGCGGCCACTGAGCCGCCGCCAATGGCGGCGATAGTGGCGCTGTCGACGTCGGCGGGAGGGAGGGCGAAGAGGGGCTTGACGGTAGTGATGGGGGCAGGGGGTCTTAGCGTGGTGGGTTTTGTGGGCTTTGGGGAGAATATGGGCCTGGGATTGGGGTTGGGGAAGTGGAGTGGCGAAGATAGCGAGGCGGAGGATGCCATTTTTTTTTCTTGGGTACTTCTCTCTCCGACCGGCGAGAGAGAGAGTGGGAGCGTAACTGTGTCTCTGTGTACGTTGGATAGTTGATGAGCTTATCCTCGTTAGGATAAGAGACATCATGCTTCCCGATTCCCGCGGGCCCCACTTTGTTGGGCTGTGTTTGGCTTGGGAATATTTTCGAGTGCGTCCCGTCGTGCCACATTACTCGTGCGCTCGATAGTTTAAAATACATTAACATCAAGTAATGTTTCAATGAAAAATAGTAAAATTTGAATATATAAAATTACTTTATTGCTCATTATTTTTTTTTGTGTGATAGAAGGGTAAATAATATTTTCATCATTTTTTGGTTAACAAAGAGGGTTTCATTAATTGATAGAGATATACTGAAACCCCTTTGCATTTGAAAGAAAGGAAAATTAACGAAAAGTTCAAATTTTTTTTAGTTTTAATGAAAAATAACAAATAAATGTATAGTGAATAATACCAGGAAAAGTAAAAAAGTGATTTTTCGTTAGAAGTGAATAATACTAGGAATGTTTCGTTAAAGCTCCCAAAATAGTGACAATACTAGAGAAACCACATTTTTATAGTTCCCATGTAAATCATTTTTTAGGGATCTTAATACAAGTAGGTCCCAATTTTATTATACAAGTAATTCACATGTGGTATTCTTAACATTTTGACATAGCGAAAGTGATGAGTTTAGAGATTACAAATGATCATCCTTAGAACTCTGGAATACTAGAGGTTGTGAAAGAAACTCTCGTTTTCTGAATTTTATTGAATGAAAAGGTTGCTCAATACAAGGCCTAAGAACATATTATAAAGGCTTGCTCAAGAAAAATAAAAGCAGCTAATAAAATCCTTGAAACCCGAAAAGACAAACTATAAAGAACATAAAACCCTTGAAAAATAAAAACCCTCATTTGTTAGTAACTTGCAGTTTTGACGAATTTCTACGAAGATGGTTCGAGGCACTTTTGTGGGAGAATTGCGTTAACTGATTTTTGCAAAAAGTGGCTAGAAAGGACCACCTCTTCTACAACCGCGTTATGGCTTACGGAGAGAAATCTATTAGGCCAAATGAAAGTACCGCTCATTTGAACAGTCTGAAAAGTCCATAACATCCATTTTCGGGATATGGGAGTATCAAATAATTTTTTAACCCCTGAATTACCAATTCTCCAATAATTTTTCTTACCTAAATGATGCTTCCATCTTTTAACTCTTCCGCATCTAAAATAATACCAAATTCGTCATTCATTTTCCTTCAAAAGAATCTTACATGCATCCAATGAAAAATTTCATCAGCGCCTCCTAGGCTTGTATTGATGGAAAGTGATAATTAAGAGGAGAGAGAGAAAAAAGAGAGAAGAAATCACAACACTCACTTGTTATTGGTATGAATACGTGAGAAATTTTCTCCTTGCATATTCACTCCATCATAGTAGACTCGTATTTGACCATAATGCTTAGGGGTCTTCTTCTTGTGTGTGTGTGTTTTGATAGATGGTGACGTGGTATGACTGAACTTAAGATTTTCTTGTTTTAACTTTTTTCTGTTATCGTTTTTGATTGACTCGAGATATTAACTCGACTTCTTCTGTTTAAGAGAATAAGTTTAATTAAAGATGTCATTCTCATATTCCCTTCGTGATCCTCATGTTTGTATTTGTAAATGGATCGATAGACACTATCTTCCTTCGTGAGAATGTTGAATAAAAATGGATTACCATATCCTCCGTCTTAACTATGGTTGTAGTAAAGGAGGGGATGAGTCTAAAATTATTATTATTTCAAAACGATTTGCACTACAAGATCATTTCAACAAGGGTGCTCTCTTAAATAATCCGATGTAATCTTCATAAAATATAAAAAACAAAAAAAATCAGATGTAATCTTCATAAAAAAAATATAAAATAACAAAAAATCAGATGCAATCATCCAAATAGTTGAGTTCATTAGAAAAGTCAAAATTGTTACACAAACAAGCCCTTAGCCTTAAGAAATAGCCAGGACTCCTAGGGCCACACTGATGACACCAATCGAGTGGTCCACTCTCAATTCCCAAAACCCAAATTTATTTTGTCAATGGTCCCGGCGCCTGCACCGAAAAGTAATTTTCAATATCTACACATCACATTGTATTATTAGATCACGAGTCAGTTAATAATGACGATGAATCTTATTTCATGCGAGTCAGTTTCCGAATTACATCTTATTAAGTTTAAATTTTAGCGGAACGACAAAGGCACTGCTTTGACTAACTTGATTCGTTAGTCGTAGTAGGGAAGAATTTACTGTTATTTCGCATGCAGCAGCACCATACCAAAAGCCAACTGGCAGCAGCCAAAGACCAAAACTTGGCATATATTTTAACATCATCGACAAACCAAACTACAAGACAACAGTCCATCCGATTTTGTTGATTTGCAACATCTTCTTCCTTAATATTGTCGCCCCATCACAATATACATACATAGATACATAGATACATATATATATATATATATTATATGTAAAAACTTTTCTAGGGTCTCAGTGCATTCCGTCACCGACACCGACAACATTAACCTGCGACGACATGGCGGCCTTTGAAGCTTGCCGCCGTGTAACACGGCTTCTGTTGTTAGTAGTAGTAGTACTAGTTGTGTCCGAGTTTATACTGTCTGCGGAGTCCAAGTATATGCAGTACAATACGACGTCGGGGCTTGTCGCCGGGAAGCTGAACGTGCATTTGGTCCCTCATAGCCACGACGACGTGGGGTGGTTGAAGACCATCGATCAGTACTACGTTGGCTCCAATAATTCCATTCAGGTATGATTAAATTATTATGCTCCTTCAAATTAATTTACGTTTAATTAGTTTATTATGATTAAAATAACAATAATGTTTATGAATATTTGCAGGGAGCTTGCGTTCAGAACGTGCTGGATTCTCTGGTTCCGGCTTTGTTGGCCGATAAGAACCGCAAGTTCATATATGTTGAGCAGGCTTTTTTCCAACGTTGGTGGAGAGAGCAGAGCGAGGGGACTCAGAACATAGTGAAACAGCTAGTCAACGACGGTCAACTTGAACTCATGTACAAAATCTTGCAATGCCCTTCACATTGTTTCGAATCATTTCGTTGGTGTTTCGCTTTGGGTTGTGAATTTGTTGATTTGGGTTTGTTTTGCAGAAATGGGGGGATGTGCATGCACGACGAGGCTGCCACTCATTACATTGATATGATTGATCAGACGACTCTCGGGCATCGGTTTATCAAACAAGAATTCAATGTGACTCCGAGGATTGGATGGCAGATCGACCCGTTTGGACATTCTGCAGTGCAGGCTTACCTGTTGGGAGCTGAGGTCTGCGTTTCTCGAAACTTTTTGTTTTCGAAATTGCCAATTTATTTAGAGTTTTTCTATTAGCGAATCGTATTTGTGAGACCACTGATTGAACATCAGCAATATTGCTTGCATAGGTTGGATTCGATTCTCTTTTCTTTGCAAGAATCGACTACCAAGACAGAGCTAAACGGATGGGTGACAAAAGCCTCGAGGTTGTCTGGCGGGGTTCTAAGAGTCTCGGTTCATCTGCACAGGTGTGTGTAACACGAAGTTTATGTTCTTCTGATGTTGGACTAATCAAAATTATCAGTGTTGAATTTGGTCTTTCAGCTCCGAAACTGTGTTAATTGCTTGAATTTGAAGATTGGAATTAGGTTATTAATCAATCCTTCGTGTGTGTAGATTTTCGCAGACGCATTTCCTAAGAATTATGAACCTCCTTCTGATAATTTCTACTTTGAAGTTGATGACCCTTCACCTATTGTACAAGTGAGTCCACTGTCAAATGAAGCTGACACGATGTTCTATATGTGTGTGTGTGTGTGTGTGGTATCGACTACGCTCCCTGTAGTTTTATAAATATTCAATCATTTCTGCTTTCGTTGTTTGAAGGATGATACGTTTCTGTTTGACTACAATGTGCCGGATCGTGTTAACGACTTTGTATCAGCTGCAATGTCACAAGTAAGATGATCAAACTGTCATCAGTTTAGGCTGATTACATTAAGTGTGAGAATCTCTCGGCGCTTATATGAATTACTTGCTTCTCTTTTTCAGGCAAACATCACGCGTACGAATCATATCATGTGGACTATGGGAACGGACTTCAAGTATCAATACGCTAATACATGGTTCCGACAGATGGATAAGTTCATCCATTATGTGAATCAAGTTGGTCCATAGCTGAAAATATTGGTGTCATTTTGCATCTTCTGCCCCTTTTATGATTTCTGCATTAATCGAAGTACTCATATGAATCCTTGTAGGATGGGCGTGTCAATGCGCTATACTCAACGCCATCAATATACACCGATGCCAAGTATGCAGCAAATGAATCCTGGCCAATCAAGACCGATGACTTCTTTCCGTGAGTTCAAATTTAAGAAATTCAAATTCTCTTGCAGGTGCGGATTCCTTCTCCTTTCTCTTGACCTCTAAGGCTCTAACCATGCTTATTTATCAGATATGCCGACATTGTGAATGCTTACTGGACTGGATATTTCACGAGCAGGCCAGCCATCAAAGGATATGTTAGAACACTGAGCGGCTACTATATGGTAAACTCTTACGATCATTTTAATTCTTGGTAAAGTATTACGTTTTATGATTTTAGAAAATGTGAAGCCTGTTGAGGTACTTGTGCTTTAATTACAAACAGGCAGCAAGACAATTGGAGTTTTTCAAGGGGTTGAACAAGTCGGGGCCTAACACAGATTCGTTGGCTGATGCTTTAGCGATTGCTCAACATCATGATGCAGTTAGTGGCACAGAGAAGCAGCACGTGGCGTATGATTATGCAAAACGGCTCTCAATAGGTTACAAGGAGGTAAACTTGATCTCTCCTGATGCTCGTTAATTTCTGTAGTTTCGCTTCCTGAAATGATTTCTGTTCAATTGTCTCATGCAGGCGGAGCAGGTTGTTGCGGAATCACTTGCTTGCTTGACAGAGACAAAATCAGAAGCTGGTTGCAAGAGTTCATCAACTAAGTTTCAACAGGCAAATTATAACTACCCTTTATCGTACACTTTTGAGGCGCTTCGCTTAAAAACTAGATTAAGAAGCTGACACTATATCTATCCTTCTTTCAGTGTCCACTTCTAAATATTAGCTATTGTCCCCCATCAGAAGCTGATCTATCAAATGGGAAAACCCTGGTGAGGACAATTTGGCGACGACCTTTACTTCCATGTTTGTGTTTTGATTAAGAAGTAAGAATTATTTCGCGACACATTCTCTTTCGTAGGTTATTGTTGTCTACAATGCTCTCGGATGGAAGAGAGAGGATATCGTAAAGATTCCTGTAAGTAATTATTTCCGGTTCTATGTTCTAACCCTCACCTTTGCGTTTTGATGGAAATCATTACTTCAAGTCCTGAACAGTTTTCGCTTTGGATAAAATTGAGCAATATGTTTTAGCTTTGCATACAATCTACTCAATGTAATCTTGTTTTGAATACTTGTTTTGTTTATTCGAGTGAACGATCTCATCTTCCCGACCTGGTACAGGTTTTCAGTGCGAACGTCACTGTAAGGGATTATACAGGAAAAGAAATTGAATCACAAATCTTACCGCTGCTTAATGCGTCAGTGGGTCTAAGAAACAATTATGTTAAGGCATATCTGGGTGTATCACCAAGTGTCACACCAAGTTACTGGCTTGCATTTTCAGCAACTGTACCACCTCTTGGTTTTAGCACTTACACCGTGTCAAGTGCCACACGAACAGGTTAGCGATGAGAATTTTTACGCATACAATACTCATTCAACATACCGTACTACTTATGCATAGTGGCTCAAATTTTGTTTCTCATGCTTCCTTACTATTGCTGCAGCTACAACTTCAGAGAGACAAACTGCTTACAAGTCAGAAACGAGTCAGAATGATACCATAGAAGTCGGGCCAGGAAAATTGAAACTTGTTTATTCCGGAAATGATGGAAAACTTACTCAATACATCAACACCGGAAGCTTGGTAAGCAAATTTGCCAACTTGCATCTGTGTTTCGATTCTTGAGGCTATTTCTCAATGCGTCTGATTTAACGTCTAGTTTACAACTGAAGGTCACCAAGTCGATACAACAAGCTTTTAGTTATTATCCTGGAGATGATGGAGATCATGGAAGTGCGGATAAACAGGTAAAACAAAGATATATCGAAGTCTTCAGTTGTTGCTAGCTGTTGTTGTTACTTCCCTAACCTTGATATACATTTTAATTTCTGAAGGCCTCGGGAGCTTATATCTTCCGCCCTAATGGTACAGTCCCCATTAACTCCGAAGGGCAGGTACATACATAATATCTTCGATGAGTGTTTCAACTTTTATCAAATGCAATCTCAATAAGAAATAGCGAGTTACCGTTAGAAATTGCAGGGTTCTTTTACTGTACTGAGGGGACCGCTGTTAGATGAAGTACATCAGAGGATCAACTCTTGGATATATCAGGTGTGTGGAAATGATATATGGGTTTTCTTTTTCACGGTGTGAAGATTTCGCTAACGATGTTAGCAATTGTTTATTTGCTGCAAATTTAAACAGGTCACTAGATTGTACAAGGAAAAGGAGCATGCTGAGATTGAATTCACAGTGAGTTACTGCATTGTGTTGCGTATTGCCATTGCACGTTTCATGTGGATATCAAAGAATCACCATTTGGAGAACTTTCTTTGACAACAGATTCTCATTTTGCAGGTTGGGCCTATACCAATCGATGATGGAATTGGCAAAGAAATTGTGACTAAGATTACAACCGGCATGGAAACCAACAAAAAGTTCTACACAGATTCTAACGGGCGTGATTTTATTGAAAGAGTATGTCGTATACTTGTTTCATTTGTAGTGCAAAAATGTCCTCTATAGAACATGTACGAAGCATCTGCAACTCGAAAGAAACAAGTGAATGTAAGGTGCAGCTATACATTGTCTTAGCAAAATTACTATTTTGCAGATTCGAGACTATAGAAGGGATTGGAACTTGGAAGTGAGTCAACCTGTCGCAGGAAATTATTATCCGGTATGTATATATCGGATAAAGCAGGACAAAGAAAAAGTGGCCAAGAATTTCCCAAATTAATCATTCAAACTGTTGTAAATTATGAAGTGATTAGGTTCTTTAATCACATGACAAAGTCTGGTTTTCTGTCGTTTTAGATTAATCTCGGACTCTACACAAAAGACAACAACACGGAGTTTTCAGTACTAGTAGATAGATCTGTGGGTGGATCCAGCATTGTGGATGGGCAATTGGAACTCATGGTTCATAGGTTTGTTCTCTCGGTTACTTCGAATTTTCATGTTTAACTACGTCTAATTATGTCGATTGATATTGAGTAAATTTCATGGTTATTGATGTTGCAACCATCTGTCTGTTAGGAGGTTGCTCCATGATGATGACAGAGGCGTTGGAGAAGCTCTAAACGAAACTGTGTGCATTCAAGATGGTTGCAAAGGATTAACAGTAAGATCATAAAACCAGCCTTATGGTTCTTCGTGTTCACAAATACCAGAATTTTTTGCATCTAATGTGATTGATTTGAATACTGACAGATCATCGGAAAGTACTACCTCAGACTTGATCCATTGGGAGAGGGTGCTAAATGGCGCCGATCATTTGGTCAGGAGATATACTCTCCATTTCTTTTAGCCTTCACAGAACAAGATGAAGATAGCTGGAAAAGCTCTCATGTCACAACCTTTTCGGGAATGGATCCTTCCTACACTTTACCTGATAATGTCGCGATAATAACCCTCCAGGTTCGTATCTCTCCTCGAGAACATGGGAGCAGCATCCTATGAAAGATGAAATATTCCTCGATCAGATTAACAATGTTAATCCTGTTTTTCGAACCCTGTAGGAGCTGGATGATGGAACACTTCTGTTCCGCCTTGCACATTTATACGAGGTTTTAGTTTCTTCCTTATTCATACTTTACGTTTTCAGCAACGAATTCTAATAAGATTGATATTTTTCTGGTTTATCAAATGCTAGATTGATGAGGACAAGGATCTTTCGGTCATGGCAAGTGTAGAGCTCAAAAAAGTGTTTGCAGATAAGAAGGTACGTAACATAAACATCTGCGCACGAAGATGAACACTGATCCGAAAAACTAACCATCTAAAATACTTCTGGTAACACATTTTTCATTCCAATGAAACTCAGATTAGAAAAGTAACGGAAATGAGTTTATCTGCAAACCAAGAAAGAGCGGAAATGGAGAAGAAGCGACTAGTGTGGAAAGCAGAAGGCTCCTCCGAAGGAGAAGCCAAAGTGTTGAGGGGAGGACCTGTTGATCCAACAAAGCTGGTGGTTGAACTTGCTCCAATGGAAATCCGAACGCTTATCATCGACTTCTAGTCCAAATATCCGACGGCTGAAAGTAAGAATGTGCGACGTACAGACATTGCTTTCGCTCGATACTAAGCTCGAACACTCAAGGGTGCTCGGATAACTTGGATTCAGAAGGCACTGAATCAAAATGAAGTTCAGAGTCCTTTATGATTGTTATACATTATTGCTTATGTTATAAGATAATGTGATGTGGATCACTAGCCTGGCTCTAATTCTCAGAAGTTTTTAAGACGAATGATTCATAATATAAACACGTTTTCAGACAACCAAAAACGCTTATATCAAACGAAAATGCACAACTGTGCTAGAATTGATTATATAGCATTTTTTGGTGTAGGATCACATCACATGTATGTACTTTATTCAGAAAGCATTTAAAATTCTTTGAAATGTCACTTAAAAGATATTTAAAATCTTATGAAAAAGTGAACCCCTTCCGAGTCTTGGTCGGGAAGATGCGGATAAAATGCCAATAACTTGATATTAGCTTCTACGGAATAAGCTTTAAAGAAGAGAGCTATCATACACCACCCCCCCCCCCTCTCTCTCTCCTTAGAAAGTGCTACTAAAATAAACATCCATTAGAACTCGTTTGGTGGGCTGGATGAAATTTGGCCTTAAGGATAGAACTGGATTGGCAGAGACTTGTAAGACAGGACTTGTAATCTATGTATAAAGATATGTTAGATAACCCACTTTATTGTGAACTCATAACCTATAATGTTCAATCCTGTTCATCTCACATTTAACACAACAAACAACAAACCGGACTCATGTTCATTTTAATTGATCACAACCTATCTCATCCAACTTACCAAACGAAACCCAGTGCTAGGCTAGCATATAACTGGTTACACATCAAACAACACGTTACATCTGGTCCAGTCAAAGTGATGTAGTCTAAAGATTTTACCCAATAAAAAAAACAAAAAAAGGGTTCTGCCGACTACCTCCATAACACTTCCTTAATCACGGACAGGCCCAATGCCAACCACAAAAGACCAAGACACGCATATTTTCCACAACGACCAGGACTTTGGTATTGCGACGTCCTTAAATAAGTTCATGAGCTTTCTCATCACCTTAATATATTTTCTTTCTTTTGTTTTTCAAGACTTGAAACGTTGGGTGCAAGCGTGAATGTTCTTAAACAATTGAGCTACGAGTCCAATGGCGGTTGAAGCTAATTGCTTGAGGCTTCTTTTGGTTATGGTACTGCTAGTTCAAGTGTTTCTACGTGGGGAGTCCAAGTACATGGTTTACAATACGACGTCGCGCCTTGTTCCCGGGAAGCTCAACGTTCATTTAGTACCTCACACCCACGACGACGTCGGATGGAAGAAGACCGTTGATCAGTACTATACTGGCTCCAACAATTCCCTTCAGGTTGGGTTCCCATCCCTTTCTTTAATTTGATCATTTTACTTTTAATTAATAATTCGATAATGCTGGTGTTTCTCATGGGGAACCTACTTATGACGTGACCTCCCACTTATGATTAGCGCGTTTTCACTCTACGAAAATCATAATCAGAACCATTCATTCTCTTTCTCATCATCTAAAGATTATATCTGTAAAACATCATTTGATCTGGATATCATTTAACCTTCCATAAGTGTCAAACCAATCAACGGTTTTGACCATGATGGAAATGCTCTTACGATGAAACGTCCATTTTTTGGTGCATAAGAATGGTTAAAAGATCTCTACACTGAATGATTTTTTTTTTCATATACGATCTTTAAATGATAATAACGTAAACGAACGGTTCCAATTATAATGTTCGTAGGATGAGGACTGGTAGGGGACAAGTAGGTTCCCCTAAGGGAACACAAGCATTATTCATATTAATTTACTTGTGCTTTTCAGTTAATTGTATTGCTTTTATTATAGGAAATTATTAAGAAAAAATCCCGTATGAACATTTTTTCTTCATTCACTTTTAAAATTTTAATTTATCTTCCGGTTCTTAATTTGAAATTTGGATGTTCAATTGCTAATGAACACTCGATCTTTTATGATATTAAAATAATAATAATTAAAACTACTGTTTTCAGGTAGCTTGTGTTCGGATGGTGCTGGATTCGTTGGTTCCCGCTTTGTTGGCCGATAAGAACCGCAAATTCATATATGTTGAACAGGCAATCAATATCGTTAATATTAGTTGAAAATATGTGATTTTTATACGTATGATTAAAAATTGTGTGAAAATAACGGGTTTTAAACCTAAAAAGTATATATGTACGTGTATAATACATGTATTGTATGTTAGAAACGCACATATACACGTATTTACTTACCAGGGTCTTGAGAGAAAAAGGGTGGGCAACAAGCACCATTTGAAAGTGGTGAAGAAGAATTAATGAATTGGAGCGGTGTGGTATCCAAAATTGATATCATCATTATACAGAGGTGGGATTGGTAGTGATGAGGATATAAGGTGAATCAAACTAAATATGTCTTAATGGGTATTCATTAACAACTCAATGCGTTGATTTGCTACCTCTACCGCATTCAATAGTAGAGCACACATGTTCATTTGTATTGTATCCGGCCATTTGGATTAGAGGTGGTGCGAGAGGGAGGTGGGACCAAAATTTGGGGTATGGTTATGGGTCCCACTATCAAGGGTTGGGTTTAGTGGAAAAGGATCCTCGCCGGATCCTCTTAGAGCACTTCCACAGGGGAACTGATAGGCCAACACCCAGCCAAAAAACCAGCCCGGCACCTAAGCTATCCACTCTAGCCTAGCATTTTGATTGGCACCCAACCCAAGCCAGGCAAGTGACCGGCCTAAAATCGACAGACCCACATGCCAGGCCATTTGACGTTAGTCGAGCCATCAACCTCCCCCACGATCAACACGTCGTAGAGAGATCTTGGTGTAGAGCTCCGCGAGGCTGAGGTTGAAGAAGGCCAATTTGCAGGCAGAGCAAAGGGCGGCGGGGATAGGGGTTTGGGGGCCTTCAACGCCCTCCTCGAGGCTAAGGTTCAGAGAGAGAAAGAGAAAGATAGATCCCTTCCACTATGCTCTTCCCATATCCCTTTATCTTGTTAATGGGTTTCTTTCTTCTGCACATTGGAGGAGAGAGGTGGGGGAGCTTTTGAGGCAGAGACAGGGGAGGGGAGTGGAGATGCATTTGTTAAAAATTAAATTATTATTTTATAATAATAATTAATAATATTTTAATAAAATTGACTAGGCTATTTGGTTTTAGGGATGGAGATGTTTTGGTCTATTATTGTACACTAGAGTCTATTACTGTTCACTTGAGTGGATAAATGAGCTGGGTACTGGCGCAAAGTCTTTAGAGGTGGAATTGCTCTTGGTGAGGATCTGGGGGATTAAGCAATCACGGCCGTTCATCGTATATTGTGTGGTCAGTTTTCGTTAGATACTATTTATGTTCAATTTTAAAATTTGAATTTAAAATAATTTCTAACCGCATGATATATGATGAACAACCGTGATTGCTTGATCCTCCGGATCCCCACAAAAAGGATCCAATGAGGATCCTTTCTCCGGGTTTAGTGGCTATTTTATGTGCTAATTTTATGTCTAAATAATAGTATGTTTTTTTATATAACAAGCCAAACGGGTTCGAACTCAAGTGGGGAGAGAGGTGATGGTACTTAAAACCAATCTAATCTAATGTTTAGGAGGGGGATTTAAGCTCAAGTGTATATGGAGAGCATATCCGCTTTAGCCAATTTAATTACGTTAATGTCTGATTGTTGATGTGTTTTTTTTTTTTTATAAGAAAAACGAAAATGGAATCAGAAATGTAAATGGGTTAGTTGATTAATTAATGCAGATTTTTTTCCAACGTTGGTGGAGAGACCAAACGGAGGCGACCCAAAACACGGTCAAGCAACTAGTCAGCTCCGGTCAACTGGAACTCATGTTCAAAATCTGCAATGCCTTGCAGTCCAAGTTTCAATTTTTATCGTTTTATTTAAAATGTCTTTCTGTTGTTTACGATCTGGGTTTGTTTTGCAGAAATGGGGGGATGTGCATGCATGATGAGGCTGCTTCTCATTACATCGATATGATTGATCAGACGACTCTCGGGCATCGGTTTATCAAGCAAGAGTTCAATGTGACTCCCAGAATTGGCTGGCAGATCGATCCATTCGGACATTCTGCAGTGCAGGCCTACCTGTTGGGAGCTGAGGTCCGCGTTTCTTGAAACTATTAGGGCCCGTTTTATAACCATTTCGTTCCTCTGTTCATAACATGCATTTAGTGAATGATCGATATTTGTGAAACCATTTGTTGAACATCAGTTATACTGTTGGCATAGGTTGGATTTGACTCCCTTTTCTTTGCGCGAATTGACTACCAAGACAGAGCTAAACGGAAGCATGAGAAAAGCCTCGAGGTTGTCTGGCGAGGTTCTAAGAGTCTCGGATCATCTGCACAGGTGCATGTGCGTGTGTGCGCCACAAAGTTGTGTTGTTAGTTCTGGAGGGATTGGTGTTTCAGCTTTGAAACCGTGTTTCTTTCTTTCTTTCAGTTGCGAACTTTTTGAAGATTGGAAATGTACTATTAATCAACCTCTTTTCTTTGTGTTTGTAGATTTTTGCCGGTGCATTCCCTGAGAATTATGGACCTCCGACAAATGAATTTTACTTTGAAGTTGATGACTTATCCCCTATTGTTCAGGTGAGTCCACACTCTAATGCCTATGTAGTCCGTAGTAACGTAATGACAGATTCATTTATTTTCTTTTGGCTTTCCTTGTTTGAAGGATGATACTGATCTGTCTGACTACAATGTGCTCGAGCGTGTAAATGATTTCGTATCTGCTGCAATCTCACAAGTAAGATGTATCCTATTAGATTGTCTACCAGTGATTCATTTCTGCCCAAGTTTTACTTTCAGGAAAGAGTTTAGATCTGTCGGGGCTTATGCAAACCACTCGTCTGGTTTTCAGGCAAACATTACTCGTACGAATCACATCATGTGGACAATGGGATCAGATTTCAAGTATCAGTACGCGCATTCATGGTTTCTGCAGATGGATAAGTTCATTCATTACGTGAATCAAGTTAGTCCATGGCTGTAAAGTGTAACTTTGTTGTCGTTTCACATTTTCTGCCCTGTTAATGGAAGTCTTCGTATTAATGTTCGTAGGATGGGCGTGTGAATGCGCTATACTCAACTCCGTCAATATACACTGATGCCAAACATGCAACAAATGAACCCTGGCCAATCAAGACTGGAGACTTCTTTCCGTGAGTTCAAATCTTGAAATTCATCGTCATTTACAGGTACCCCGGTCCTTTTCCAGCTTGTTAACCTATAACTATGCGTATCCATCAGATACGCTGAGAAAGAAAATATTTACTGGACCGGATATTTTACAAGCAGGCCAGCCCTCAAGGGCTATGTTAGAATGATGAGCGGCTACTATTTGGTATACTCTTCAGAACATTTTAGCCTGCGTTGGTAATAATTATGTTTTGAGTAAGATTTCAAAGAGTATTAAGGTAGTTGTGTTCTTCAATCTATGATCAGGCAGCGAGGCAACTCGAATTTTTTAAGGGAATGAGTAAATCAGGGTCTAAGACAGATTCTCTGGCTGACGCCTTAGCAATCGCTCAACATCACGATGCAGTTAGTGGCACGGAGAGGCAGCATGTGGCGGATGATTATGCAAAACGACTTTCAATAGGCTACAATGAGGTAGATAAAACTTATACCATTCCTGATATTCTCAGTAGTTTCTTTACTTTTGCATAGCGAAATGGTTTCGATTTCTCGCAGGCTGAGAAGGTTGTTGCAGAATCGCTTGCTTGCATGACAGAATCCAAATCAAGAGCTGGTTGCGAGAATCTGTTAACGAAGTTTCAACAGGCAAATTAAACTACCCTTTGTCCTACATTTTTCAGCTGTTTCACTTTTCCACTGGATTAACAACAAGCTGACGTTACAATTTTTGTTCATATTCTTCCATTTATATTTTGTTTCAGTGTCCACTTCTGAACATTAGCTATTGCCCCCCGTCAGAGGCGGATCTGTCAACTGGGAAATCCCTGGTGAGGATAGTTTAGCGATGACATTTACCAACTGCCATGCTTATGTTTCAATCAAGAAGTACGAATTATTTCGTGATTATGCATTTCTCTTTTGTAGGTTATTGTTGTCTATAATTCTCTGGGATGGAAAAGAAAGGATGTCGTAAAGATTCCTGTGAGTAGTTATTTCCTCTTCCATGTTGAAATCCTTACGGTGTTTTAAGATTTTTTATATTTCTCACGCGTACGTGTGCATATCTCTAGGTTAGTAAGTATATGTTCTTCCTGTTTTTTTACTTTCTGGATACTTGTTTTCTACAGGTTATCAATACGAACATCGCTGTGAGAGATTCTACAGGAAAAGAAGTTGAGTCACAGCTCATACCTCTGCTTAATGCGTCCGCGACCATAAGAAATTACCATGTCAAGGCATATCTTGGTAAATCCCTGGGAGATACTCCAAGTTATTGGCTTGCATTTTCTGCAACTGTACCCCCTCTTGGTTTTAGCACTTACGTCATCTCAAGTGCCACACGAAAAGGTTGACTATGTGAATTCTTTACCGTATGATACTGAAGAAACATATCAGAACCAGATTTAACTTTTACTGACGGCTCAGATATTGTGTTTCCGCCTTACAAATGCAGCTACTACTTCAGAGGGACCGACAGTGTACAGGTCAGAAGCAGGTCAAAATGATACAATAGAAGTTGGGCGAGGCAACTTGAGACTTATTTATTCTGGAAATGATGGACAACTTACTAAATATATGAACAGCAGAAGCTTGGTATGTAACTTCTGCACTCAAACAGTACTTGTTTTCTGCAAAAATATTCGCTAAATTGATTTTCTCTGTGCATATAATTTGATATGTACTATAAATATAGGTCAAAAAGCGGATAAAACAGTCATTTAGCTACTACGCTGGAGATAATGGATTTGTCGATTTACAGGTAATGAAGTAATACACATTTTAAATGTAATTAAACGTGATTATATGTGACGAAGATTGAAAAGGGAATGTTTCTATTTTCTGAAGGCCGAGGGAGAGCAGAGGGCCGAGGGAGCGTATGTCTTCCGCCCTAATGGTTCATATCCCATTAAATCCGGAGGGAAGGTAGGTAAATGAATGTCATTTTACCTTATGCAATCACAGTAAGAAATAGCAAATTCACCATTAGGAATTGCAGGTTGATCATTTTACTGTTCTGAGAGGACCATTGCTCGATGAAGTACATCAGAGGATAAACTCTTGGATTTACCAGGTGGTTACACAGAATCTTAATAAAAATATGGGATCATATGTGTATGTGTGTGTGTGTGTACTATATATGTATATATATATATATGAGTTTTCTTTCGTGCTGTGAAGATTTCGTGATCAATACTAACAACAGTTTATTTGTTGCATATGCTTAAACAGGTCACTAGAGTGTACAAGGAAAAAGAGCATGCTGAGATTGAATTTATTGTGAGTTAACTGCACTGTATTGTGTGTTTCCACTGGATACCACAATTGAAGATCAAAGAACTAAAAGTTTCGAGAATTTTCCTTTTACAACAATGTTCTGATTTTTCAGATTGGCCCTATACCAATCGATGACGGTGTTGGCAAAGATATCGTAAGCAAGATTACAACCGGCATGAAAACAAACAAACGATTCTACACAGACTCCAACGGGCGCGATTTTATCGAAAGAGTATGTTCTGTGTTTGATCTCATTTGTTATGCAGAATAACGTGCTGTCTTTCCGGTTTTTGACCAGCCTTGTTCAATGTCTTCAACTTGCTAGAAATTTTCACAGAAATTATTGTTTTGCAGATTCGAGACTATAGAAAAGACTGGGATCTTGAAGTGAATCAACCTGTTGCAGGAAATTATTATCCAGTATGTGTAATTACTACATCGATCAATGTGTCTCGTTGTCTCATGTTCGAATTTTCTGGAAAATTACCTTTTACGACAAGTATGTATCTTTAACCAAGACATGACAAAGTTCTCTGTCATCACAGATTAATCTCGGAATCTACACGAAAGATAACAACACAGAGCTGTCAGTATTAGTAGATAGATCTGTGGGTGGATCCAGCATTGTGGATGGACAATTGGAACTCATGCTCCATAGGTTTTCTTCCCTTTACTCTGGATCTACAATTCTTTTTTCGATCTGTCTTTGTTGTTTAGTTAATAACGCGGTTAGTGAGAACGCTATAATCTATCTTGAATTTATATGCCTCGGCATTAGCCTCCCGCTATTTGTTTTGGAAACGAATCAATTTCCTCACTTGTATTCTGAAATGCTGGAACACTAACGAATTCGTTAATATCTTCTTGATTACACTCCACTTTTATTAGGAGGTTGCTCTGGGACGACGACAAAGGTGTAGCCGAAGCCCTAAACGAAACTGTGTGCATTCAAGATGATTGTGAAGGACTCATTGTATGATCCTAAAAACTCACCCTAGCTAGCTAGGGTTCTTAGCGTTCATAAAGACCATAACTCCCCCATATGATATGCTAACTTTTAAATACATTGACAGATCATCGGAAAGTACTACCTCAGGCTCGATCCATTGGGAGAGGGCGCTAAATGGCGTCGATCATTTGGTCAGGAGATATACTCTCCATTTCTTTTAGCCTTCACAGAACAAGATGAAGATAGCTGGACAAGCTCTCATGTCACAACCTTTTCCGGAATGGATCCTTCCTACACTTTACCTGATAATGTCGCGATAATAACCCTCCAGGTTTGTGATCTCCCCGAGAAGATGGAAGCAGCATCCTACTGGAAAATAAAAAATTCCCCTATCAGATTAACATTGTTAATCCTGTTTTAAAACTCTGTAGGAGCTGGAAGATGGAAAACTTCTGTTCCGCCTTGCACATTTATACGAGGTTTTAGTTTCTTCCTTGCTCATACTTGACATTTTCAGCAACGAGTTCTAATAAGACCGATGTTTGTATGGTGTATCGAATGCTAGATTGATGAGGACAAGGATCTTTCGGTAATGGCAAGTGTAGAGCTCAAAAAAGTGTTTGCAGATAAGAAGGTACGTAACATAAACATCGGTCGCATGAAGATGAACACTGATCCGAAAAACTAACCATCCAAAATACTTCTGGTAACACCTTTTTCATTGCAATGGAACTCAGATTAGAAAAGTAACGGAAATGAGTTTATCTGCAAACCAAGAACGAGCGGAAATGGAGAAGAAGCGACTAGTGTGGAAAGCAGAAGGCTCCCCCGAAGGAGAAGCTAAAGTGTTGAGGGGAGGACCTGTTGATCCAACAAAGCTGGTGGTTGATCTTGCTCCAATGGAAATTCGAACGCTTATCATCGACATGTAGTCCAGATGTTCGACCGCTGGAAAGTAAGAATGTGCGATGTTGAGGAGTTCGTTTGTCAAGGGCGCTCGAGTACTTCGATTTAGAAGAGACTGAATTGACATGTCTCGTCGGACATGGAGAAGATGAGGAACCAAATGAATAAGTCATATGGGAGAATCGGCTCGTATATAGACTTGTACGAGCCCATCCTCCGCATTTGCAGATTACTTATTTATTTTTAGGTTTTTGTTCTAATTTTTTTTTTTTCACAACACTGAATTATCGTCTTTATATTCTTCAAAATGTAGTCTTTGGTGCAAACCTCTTATCATTGAGCTTTAAACGCTCTAAAAACAACGATGTAAAACTTAAAGCTAAAGAATTTTCAACTTAAAATATGAAATTTGACTATTACTAGAAAAAAGTTACTTATTTATAAAAGCAGTTTAGAATTGGAAAATTTTGACTTTTACTTAAAGAATGATTTAGATGAAACATGTTTACTGTTATCGTAGCGTTTTTGTCCAATACAATGCATTACTAAATCGAGACGCCATGTGGTGATAAATCGTAACCACGGACAATTTGGCACATAAGCATAAATTGCTCATTCAAAACACAAAATTAGAAATATTTGCACACGTGTCAAATTCATTGACAAAAATATTTGCCAAGTTACGTGCATTTACCTAATACATTCACCATCTAAAATTCTTCCATACTACATAAATGTATAGCATTAAATACTACAAATATTGGATGATTTGGATTGATTTAAATTATTGTTCATATTGTGGTGCCGTGAATTCAGATCGTATTGGGGTGGAAATAGACTTTTTGTCCATTCACGTGAAGGGCACATGCTGTAACAGCGCCAAAGGCAAGAGACCAACCACAAAAGTAGAACGTGCCAGAAAGAGAGATACCTAGAGCACTGCGACTGCGACGCCGCCGCCGCCGGAGCAATCCATCGAATTACATTACCCGAGACATCACCTTATCCCAGGTAGGTATTTTCCGGCAACCAAACGCCGCCGTTTCTCTGTGAAATGCTTCTACTTATCAATTGATTTGTCTGTGTTTTTTTTTCTCAATGAGAGAGTTTTTCAGATGAGGAAAGAGAGCCAGGCGTCCGCCATGGAAATCGACGATCCAAAGCCCAAAAATTCCGATCAGATCTCCCCTAAATTCTCCATTAACGGTTCGCTCGCAAATCCCTTCGTTTCTGATATCATTATATGCGTCGTCGGTTTTTTTCGTCTGGATTTTAATTTAATTTTGATTTAAACAGTGCTGCAGCTCTTGAAATCTGCTCAGATGCAGCACGGATTGCGCCACGGAGATTACACTCGTTATCGGTACATATTCATTGTCATTTGGTTTAATTTTGTGTTTTATTGTTGTTCATGGTGTGTGTTTGTGTGCATTGTGAGTAGAAATTGATATGTTTTGTTGCTGGAATTGAATTTTTTCGCAGGAGGTATTGCACTGCAAGGTTGAGGAGGTTGTATAAGTCGTTGAAGTTCACTCATGGCCGTGGTAAATACAACCGCCGGGCCATTACTGAATCTACTGTCACTGAAGTGAGGTGGGTCTTATTTTCTCATGAATTTTGTTTTCGGAGTTGAATTATATGTTGGTCGTCTATTTTTGTTGCTGGACTAGCGAAAATGTACGAATTTTGGTATATGTATGAACTAGGAAACAATATTTTTTATTTCATGAGTTTTTTTCATGATTTAACAGTTTAATTTTCTGGATTTATGATAGGTATCTTCATGTGGTTCTTTATACGGCAGAGAGAGCGTGGAGTCATGCCATGGAAAAGAGACAGGTTCTGGATGGTCCAAATGCTCGTCAGCGAATCTATCTAATTGGTAGGCTGAGGAAGGCAGTAAAATGGGCTACACTTTTTGCACAGTTGTGTGCAATCAAGGGAGATTCCAGGACTTCTTTAGAAGCCGAGGTGCTTAATTTTTTCTTGTTTCAGTTGCATGTGCATGTCCTGTCTCAAATTTATAATATTTTTGGGTCATAATATGATGTGTTCTAGATGTTTAATTGCCATCGGCACTGATGATAATCATATGGTATGATTAACATGTGATTTTCATTGATTTAATAGAACTTTTGTTCAAGGGGCATGGTTTATTTTCTTCTCACCTTGCAACTTTTAATTTAATATGTAGGCTTATGCCTCCTTTATGAAAGGGAGCTTGTTGTTTGAGCAAGATCAAAATTGGGACACCGCATTGATGAATTTCAAAAGTGCCAGGTTCAATCTCAAATTATATACATTGATTAATGCTGCTTTTATGTTAGAAATTCATGGGTAATTTGATGCCTATAGCTTGTGTTTGCCCCAAAAGTATAAAGTATCAATGTTCAAAAGCACTAACCGATTAAAATACATGCTGCAAAAGGGAATATAATTTCTCTAGTTGCTTTTTGCTACAAGTTAAGCGCCAATAATACAATTCTAATGGAACAGATACAGCATTTGAATTTTGAATTAGACGCTTATGCATGTAGGAGTCAAGTATTTTTGGTTCAATGAGTAGTGTACGTATAACTTTGTGTTAATATGTTTAGGGCTGTTTATGAGGAACTTGCTAAATATGGAGACCTGGAGAATCAAGTTTTGTGCCGTGAGCGTGTTGAGGAATTAGAACCTAGTATTCGATACTGCCTACACAAGGTTGGAGAGTCAAATCTACAAGCCTCTGAACTTCTACAGATTGGTGAGATGGAAGGACCTGCGCTGGACCTCTTCAAGGCTAAATTGGAGGTAGGGTTGGTTTCATTTAAAGTAAACCATACATTTGATGCTTTTCCTCCCTTTATCCCTCAGAGGCTTTTTTTTATTTTACTGATGACTTGAAGAAACTTGAAAATATAGGCTGTTATGGCCGAGGCAAGATCTCAACAGGCTGCCTCCATGACAGAGTTTCATTGGCTTGGTCATAGATTTCCAATATCAAATCCAAAAACTCGAGTTTCCATTTTAAAAGGTCAGTAGTTTGTTTACTATTTTAAGTCATGGCACCAATATAAAGATTTTTTTTTTCTTGTTCTCATAAAAAATAAAAAAATAAAATAAAATCCTACTGATTTTAGGTTTTTGTTAGTTGGTAGAGGACATTGCATAGCAGATCATATCTCTTGTTGTTCATGCTGTGTGTGTGAGAGTGTAAATGTATGTGCCAGTAAGGTCTCACGAGAGTGATTTGTTTGTATGATGAGAACCTTTAGCTGAAGATGGAAATTTGTTTTTCACTGAAAAAATGATGGTTTGTCTATAACTCTAAAAGGATCTGAGAACCACAAAACTGAACTAGTCTTTGGAATTTGAAAAAGTGTACCATTCAATAGGACTGTATGTGGGGTGGGGTCTTTGTAATCTTCAGAATGGGAATAAAAACTAGACAAGGTTTTGATGCATATTTCAGGGAACTGTTTGACTTAGAAAAGTTATAGGTAGGGAAAAGTCCTAGCCAGAACCGGATACTTGTCATATGTCATTGCAATTGAGAAATATGCAGCCTTTAACCTCCTTAGATTTCACGAGTTACAGATTCTATGAAATTTTTGTGCAAATTTGGTGTGAATCATCATGTCATGTTTCTTTCTTTATTTTTGCACATTTATAATTCCAATAAAGTGCTATCTTTTGTTTTATTTGTTTCTTTCTTTTTGCATACTTTAATTCCACTAACCGCTATTCTTTGTGTTTGATTTGACAAAATTGTTCAGCTCAAGAATTGGAGAAAGATTTGCTTGGTTCATCAACTAATTCACTCCCACCAGAGAAAAAACTAGGCATTTTTGACAAAATTTTTACTGCATACCATGAGGCAAGGGGTTGCATTCGCAGTGACTTGGTATGGAAGTTTCTCAATATAAGATATTTTCTTTTCCTTTTCTGATGCCCCCAGGGATTTGTCTTTTTGTCATGTGCTTCATCATTATTTTGTATCTTTTTCATGCTGCTGTTCTGATGCACTGTATATAGGCCAGTGCAGGTAATTCTGAAAATGTGAAGGATGACCTGAATGGCCTTGATAAAGCTGTTAGTGCTGTATTGGGAGAGCGAACCATTGAGCGCAACCAAATGTTGGTTACCATTGCGAAGAGTAAACTTACCAAAAGACGTGATGACAAAAACGAGAAAGCTACTAAGCCTGAAGAGCTTGTTCGGTTGTATGATCTACTATTACAAGTTAGTTGCCTCTGTTTTGAATTGTTTCCTACTTGCCTTTCATCATGTGTAAATGCATTACTTTTACTAGATGCTGATATCTCAGGTTATAAATAGAATACCATGTTTGTTGTGATATTTGGCAGAATACATCTGATCTATCAGATTTAGTCAGCTCGGGAAGAGACAGAAAACCAGAAGAAGTGGCTTTTGCTGACGAATGTGAACTAAAAAGTTTAGCCTTCCGGGCAGAGAGGTTTTTTTTCGGCAGAGCTCTCTTTTTAATATATATATTGTTTTATGAACTCTGGCATACTTCTATTCATCAATGTTATATTCTGGGGATTGCTTCTGTGCTTGATTTTTCAGATGACACCAATGCCTCATTAAATCTTGAATTCAGGACATCCCTATCTTCTACAAAGTCATTGGCCCTAAAACACCAATTTTACATGTATCATGATGACTTTTCTTGCCATTGTAGGAACTCTTACGTAAAAGCTAATACCACAAAGTGGTTTTCTTGTACTTAGGTTGACTTTTAAATTTTCTGCAGTTACCAAATTACGTGTCTTTTGTCTTCTTCACCCCTTTAGAAAAAACTAAGGCACATGATAGCGAGGTTCACTATATCTTGTTTACAGTTTCATGCTTGTTATTTTGCTCTGCTTGAACAAACAACCAAGGTTCTACTCTTATCAATAGAGTTGGTATATAGGTGTCAAGGGATATTGTCTATTCCATAAATTTATCAGTATTCCAACTTTTCGCAGGTGTTTCTTTCTGGGCAAATCATACAGCTTGGCCGGTAAGAGGGTAGAAGCTTATGTGTTGTACTGCCATGCTCGCTCCCTTGCAGAGAATGCCCTACAGAAATTCCAGTCTGTGAATAATGGTGATGAGGTGCGTATTAGTGTGGGTTTTTTTTTTTTTTTTTTTTTGGAAATATGTTTGCAACTTTGCATAAACATTGACCTCTGTACTTTAAATTAATACTCTTTTGTCAGATGCATCTTGGGTTACATTACATTAGGTTTCTGTTTACTATATGGCCTTTGGTTCCCATGCAACCAGGGGAGACCGATCTTTTTGAGTTAAAACTTTCAATTAGTTGACCTCTTATCATACCAAATACCAATTTTCATGAATGAGCTCTAAGATGAATACAAGTTTGATCGGTTCTGTCTTTATAGCAGGCGGTCATCAAGGAGTTGAAGACATTGTGTGATGAGTGCAGATCCAACAGTTGCATCGAACATGCCATGGGGATCATGGAAGAGCTTAAGGCTCCTGAAAACCTTTCAAAAAAGATATCTAGTATCAACTTAAGTGGCGTTGACAAGAAGGTACCACTTAAATCATTTCCTCTTCTTTAAAAATAAACCAGAATGTGCAAGAATTTCTGGTAATCATATCAGTGTTTGTCTGGTTAGTGTGTAATGTGTCGGGCAAGATACTGAGGCCAAAAGTGAAGAGGTGTACCTAATCTGGACCATTTAAGGCCGTCTCTGGCTTGTCTAGGCTTGCCCGGACATTGGACCATCCAGATTCAAGAACTGGCTTCTATAGATGTTCAAGCTGTTATGTATTATCTAGGTTGTGAGAAACCGGGACTCCTAACCCCGTGATACTAACCTTCTTTTGGATGAGTTTCTCTGAAATTTTGTGTATTAGCATCTCTGTGATTCTGCTCTTAATATTATCACTTTATGTGATACGCTGATTTGGATATTTTTTTCAGGTGGAATTCCTCCTTGAGAAACTCAACGTCTACGAGTCTGCAGTTGGCGATGCAAATGTGAAAAGTGCTCCGCGTATTGAAGCCTTCCCTCCTCCTTTCAATCAATTCCTCGCAACCCCATTGTGCTCGACCTTGCCTACAATCACATCGACTTCCCGTCACTTCAACATAGGATGAGGAAAGACAAAAGCGGCGGCTTCCTTAAAAGGTTTTGGGGATGAGTTCTCAGAGTTTTTTTCTATACGATAGGTTCACTACATACTCGGAAGAATTTGACGATTTCTGTTAATTGTACTGTCCTCGGCTGCCTTAGAGACACAAGTTTTTAAATTAGCAAACAGGGAATATGGATATGCAACTTCTACTTTTGTTGTCGAATGATGGAAAAATTATATAAGCACAACATGAAATTTTTAGAGGGGAAAGTGGTGGTTTTTATTCCTAGGCGTTTTAGCTAAAATGGCCTTTAAGATTGACATAACTCTTCACTTTGGTCCTTAAGATTTAAAATCGATAGAATAGCGTTAATTATTTTGATCATTCCGTGAAATTGAGGTATTTTTGTCATTTATCCTTATTTAACAGATATTTTTTACGGAACGATCAAAATGATTGATAGTGGGCGAATTCAGGGACCATTTTATTGATTTCAAATCTCAGTAACCAAAATGAAGAGTTATGTCAATTTCAGAGATCATTTTGACTAAAAAGTCTTGTTCTTATGTGTTTTTAGTTGAAGATGCGATAGTGGCCTTCTCTGTGGGTCTGCCCAAACCCGCCGTGTGCGGGGCGGGGGTCGGGTTTGTCGGGGAAGTATCCATCTCTAGAGAAACTTGGTTATCAGATCTCACAGCATGACTACTTAATACCGGCAAGTGGCAAAAGAGATTGGTGTCACCGACAATGAGGTTTCTATCAATGTCATCAATTGCTGGAAGAAGTAGTTGGCTGAGGCCAACGTAACGTTAATATTACCTTCATTATATTAACAACCTTGGATTTTAAGTACAATTAGGTACACTGAATTTCATGCATGACAAATCTTGCGCGATGTGAGAGGCCGGTCCGCCGGTTGTATTTCGTTGATCGACCGGCCACTCATATTCCGAATTATCCTACAAGATTTATATTAACTGTAAAATAAGTGTTTTTAATCATTTTGGGATAAGATCCTGTAATTTATGCCTCTTTTAACATTGGAAGACTTACCTTAAAATCCGAGTAGAAAAGAGCATTTATTCCTAGCAGATGTTCTATGTTAGACTTCTCTCTCAATACTGCATTGTATAGATTCAAACAAATATGTTGTATCTGGTTTAATATCCTAATGTATAGGGTGTTGAGTTTTCACCTATGCGTTCTAAGTTTGAACCATCCTAGCCTAAACTATTGTAATAGTTTCGAATAATAGTAATAAATTTAAAAATAAATAAATAAAGAAGAGAGAGAGTAAAAAGGAAAAAGGCGGGTGAGATTTTAGTGACATGTAATTTAAGTTTTAGTAACGGCCATGAAAAATCGCAGACACCTTCGTCCTCCAACTGCACAAACCTCCCTTCACTTTCGATCCCTCCCTCTCTAACAAAAACAAAAAACAGCAACAAGAAGAAGGTTTTTTTTTTTTTCTTTTTTTCTGACCAAAAAAGAGAAGCTTTTGGAACCTCCCCTCCTCCTCTCTCTCTCTGCAGAAATTCAAGACGAAGGCGATCTCTGTATCCTTCCAAACATGCATTTCGCAAAGCTTGATGATTCGCCTATGTTCCGCCAACAGGTTTCTTTTTTCTTTTTTGTTTTTGTCAAACGATAAATTTTGTTAGATTAGACGTTAGATTAGCACCGATAGGTTTCTTCATTTTCTATATTTTTATATTTATTGTAATTATTTTTGTGTGTTAAATTATGCCAAAAAAAGCTCAAATCAAATTGTTTGTTTTGGTAGAGCTGATTTTATCGTCATAATTTACAAATTTCACCTCCTCTTTTTTTTTTCTGAATTTATGGATTCTTGTTAACAATGGTGTGACATTTTTGCTTGTATCTGAGTTTGACAGTTTGGTTGATGTTCTTTATAAATAAACGCATACAGTGAAACAATTTCTGCATAATATAGATAGCTAACGCAGCAACCTTGATGTTCTAATTATATTCGAAACCATGTCGTTAAAATTCCTACGTACCGAAAAAGAAATTACATGGGATGAAGAAAATTGCTACTTTTCTCTGCATTTGTTGTTTATTCGATATTCGTTACTCTGCACAATCTGGACACTTGAAGTTTTGATGTTTGCTTACTGATGTATGCTACTTTGGAAACAGATACAAGGTTTGGAGGAAAGTGCAGAGTCACTGAGGGGAAGATGTTATAAGTTTTACAAAGGATGCCGAAAGTATACGTATGATGAGAAGTCTCTCTATCTCCTTATGCTTTCGAGCTGAATAATGAGCCCACTTCCTCGTTGAACAGTTTTCTTTCGCAGTCGTGTCTTTGCTGTGACGTCGAAACATCAAATCTTAAGAATTTTAGTATCCGAGATTAAGCAGATTACACTAAGAATAGGGCACAAACACATGAATGCACAGAGGAAAACTATACCCTCTTTATATGAAGAATTTAAACCAAAACTTCTCCCACAATCTCCCCCCGTTCAAACCACGGAGTTTTTTACTTCTTAAGAAAAGTAGATGGAATTGCGGAGTTGTATAATTATTAGCAACTGTTATATGTATCTTATAATTTGTATCCAATTTAATTTTTCAGAGAAGGGCTTGGAGAAGCGTATGATGGTGAAATCGCTTTTATAACTGCCCTTGAAAGTTTTGGGGGAGGCCACAATGATCCTATTTTTTCAGCTTTAGGAAGTATGTCTGTGTATGATTGTGTTTATGTCTGCCTATTTTCTGTCAGCACTTATAAATTCCACATTAATTTTCTCAGGCCAGGTTATGTCCAGATTCACAATTGCATTAAGAGAAATCGCGACGTACAAGGAAGTTTTGCGTTCACAGGTAGTAATTTGTTCTGGTTTCCTCAACAAAATCATAATCTGAACAATATATGTCGATAGCAATCATATTTTTTCAACCTTAACCTTTTCTTCATCTCACGATACTTATATATGATTGATGTGTTGAAATCTCATGTTTGTTCTCAGATAGAGCACATGCTAAATGATAGGCTGGTGAACATTGTCCATGTTGACCTCCATGAAGTCAAGGTACAAGGCGAACGGTTAACTAGGCTTGTTTACATATGCACTATATTTACAGCAGTTGCTTCTACATGGCATCGCTTTCGATATAATGAACTGTGATGTGTTGTACTTCCTTTCATCCCTCTCATTGTCTAACAAATTCCTTTTTTCGCTAAAGTATCTTATTGATGCAGGAATCCCGAAAGCGTTTTGACAAGACATCACTTGTATATGATCAGGTGGTCTTCTGTTCTGAAAATTTCATACATACGTGTTACTTGTTGAAGTTTGTAGAACACAATATTTTTCTTCAATCAAAATATGGTTTCTTGTGCAGCAAGCATATGTGTTTTTGTACAAGGGTAATGTGTATTCTATGCACAGGCACGCGAGAAGTTTCTGTCATTGAGGAAGAGCACGAGGATGGATATAGCTGCTAGTATAGAGGAGGTATATCCACAATGGTTTACCTCCGAGTTCCAGTATTATTCAGTCTGTTGTATAGGTTGAATTAAGATAGTTTTCCATGGGTGACCATTTAAATCTAATTTGGTAGAGAGACATTCCAGGAACTGCAGAATGCAAGATCCTCGTTTGAGCAAGCCCGCTTCAGCCTGGTAAGATAAGTTTCACGACATTTTGTTTTGAAGAAAGATACAATGCAGAAGCAGTTAGGCTTTCAACATATAGTCCACTTATGTATCCAGGTTGCTGTTCTTTCTGATATTGAGGCCAAAAAGAGGTTTGAGTTTCTGGAAGCTGTCAGCGGGGTGATGGACGCTCATCTTCGTTACTTCAAACAGGTATAGGACACAACCCTTGCGTAATTTGCAATCCAACATATACACTGCTTATGATATTTTCCCCCTCCGTTTGCAGAGTTATGAGTTACTGCATGCAATGGAACCCTACATTCATCAGGTTTACAATTACAAACTTTCTTCATCACTTGGTATTTTTCGTGAAGAGGTCTGTCCAGTCACATGGCAAAGTTCTCTGTTAATTGTTGATTGTAAGAGTTTTTGCTGTTTTTTCTGTGTAGGCTTTGGCTGACGCGCAACAGACACGAGAAAGTTGCAACCAGGAACAGACGTGTCTCAATGAAAGGATACAAGAGTACAAAAAGCAGATTGATCGGGAAAGTACGCAGTCCTTGAGCGGTATCCATGGTTCTCCTAAAGGAGATGGTCCGCAACCTTTCTCCAGGAAATCACATAAAGTGATCGAGGAAGTGATGCAATCTGCTGCAAAGGGGAAGGTAATTGCAGTTGCAGATATTTTTTGGATATCTTTTAGTTTCAATATGTACTTTCAAGTTGCATCCCTTTAGATACAAATATCCTCTTCAGGTACAAACCATTCGGCAAGGATATCTATCAAAGCGTTCCTCCAATTTGAGAGGTGACTGGAAAAGAAGGTATTTCATTCTTGATAGTCGAGGGATGCTGTACTACTATCGCAAACCATGGAGTCGGCCATCTGTAAGTCATTCGCCAGAGGATACGTTATGTAAACCCTGTTTTGTGCCTCCCACTGCTTACTTGATGTTAATCATACTGTTTCAGTATGGGAGTCCATCTTCTCCACAGAAGAATAATTCCTCTGAAAACGGCTCCGGGCTTTTGAGTCGATGGCTTTCATCTCATTACCATGGTGGTATACATGATGAGAAATCCGTTGCTAGCCACACTGTGAACTTGCTGACATCAACGATAAAGGTTGATGCAGACCAGACGGACTTAAGGTTCTGCTTCAGAATTATATCACCTGCTAAAATCTACACTTTGCAGGTATTTCTTTTCCGAAAATTTCTCAGAGGGTAATGCCAGATGCATAGTGAATTTAACACGTTAAACATATGACGGTAGGTCCTGAAATTTTTTTGGTGATGCAGGCAGAGAATGCACTTGACCAAATGGATTGGATTGAGAAAATAACTGGAGTAATAGCTTCATTGTTGAGTTTCCAGACACTTGAGAGGGTAATTTTACTGAATGTGCATTCTTTCGGACATGCAATCTTTGAATCTATAGTTGTTGAAATGGTTATAACAATTGTTTTGCAGCGTCTCTCAACTAGCCCTACAGGAAGCGATGATCAATTCTCTGGAAACGAGGGCTACTTATTAGAAAGTGCTCCTGATGCTGAGCAGACAGCTATTCCGGAACTGTCACCTAAGATCACAGCTTATAATTATCTACGAATCTCTAGAAGTATGCAGCCGCACAAGCTCAAAAGTGAGAAGCCAATTGACATACTGAGAAGAGTGTGCGGTAATGAAAAATGTGCTGATTGTGGTGCACCTGAACCAGATTGGGCATCTTTGAACCTCGGAATTCTTATTTGCATTGAATGCTCTGGTGTTCATCGTAATCTTGGTGTACATGTATCAAAGGCAAGTTGTCTAGGTTAAGATTTAGTCTGTGAAATGGTTATGGATGTCTTGGTTTGTTTAATACTGCTTTGATGCAGGTTCGATCACTAACACTTGATGTGAAAGTATGGGAACCTTCTGTCTTAACCTTGTTTCAATCACTGGGAAATGCTTTCGCAAACTCGATTTGGGAGGAGATGTTGTATTCAAGAAGTACTTTGCAGGCTGATAAAATGCCTATAGGGTAATTAAGGATTCTGTAAATCTATATGATTGAAACTAATATTCTTAGTGTGCTAATAACTCGTCAGTTCGTGCGATGTAGTTTCTCCAAGGCTGATAGGAATGAGCCGTTTCTTATGATAAAGCCATGTAATGACGATCTTAATTCGACAAAGGAGAGGTATATTCAAGCAAAGGTATTCTTCTAAATAATCTGCTCACACCTTTTTGTTTCAACTGCATAATTTCGATATGATGTGTTGTTCGGAACCTCTGAGATTTCCTTCTAAATGCAGTATGCAGAAAAACTTTTTGTTCGTCGTACAAAAAACAATCAGAAACTTCATGTCATGGGGCAACAGTTGTGCAAAAGCGTCCGTGCTAATGACAAGAAAGCAGTTTACCGCTATATCGTTGGTTATGAAGCAGATGTTAATTCTAGATCTGTGCAAGCATTAGATGGTATGCTCTTATAATCTGCAAAATGCAATGTGATTGGTTGAACAGAAAATACTTGATACCAATTTGGTCGCTTTGCAGATAATTCCGGAGACAAGCCCTCCTCAAGTAACTTAAATTCTGTCACTCAAAGTGAAATTCAGCCCGCAGAAGACACCGCTGAAGGCTGTTCCCTGCTTCACCTAGCCTGCCAAAGTGCCGATATTGGCATGGTAGAGCTCCTTTTACAGTACGGTGCCAACGTAAAAGCTACTGATTCAAAAGGTCAAACACCACTACATTATTCCGTTATAAGAGGGAATATTGCTATTGCAAAGTTGCTTCTAACAAGGTAAGACTTTGTGCATTTGGGACTGCTTCTGTACGAAGCACTTCTGCTCATAACTGGTTCTTCTAGAAGTGCTTTTATTAAACGCTTGGCTTGTTTAATTCAATTGCAGGGGAGCTGATCCAAAAGCCACTGACAGAGAAGGTAAAACACCAAGTGAGCTTGTATCAGAATCAGCCTCCAAAGACAATGGGATGCTGGCTCTTTTAACAAACTCCGGCAGATGATGTTTAAAACCGAAACTTTTTCGCATACTTAACACGAGAACTGATCGAAAACGTGAGACCGTTTTGCCTCTTCGAAATGTAGGATCAGTCTAGTTTTGTGGGTTGAGGTAAATAGAGGCAGTTTGATTTGGTTTGTATCTGTTTGTGAACTATTTTGTTCTTTATAATTTGGATTTGTGTATAGAAAAAGAATGCTAGTAGGTTTTAGCAAAGTTATTTTGTTGTTGTACTTGTATGTAGATGATCAGTTTAGTTTAGGCAAAATTTCATTTGCTTTTGTATCAATGAGGTAACTATTTGTTTCTTATTTTTTATAAGAATTGTCGATTGGAAGTGATTTCTGTACGGCTTTTTTTTCTATGTATTTTTGTTTATTTTTTATTTTGGATTAAATAAATTAACAGAGAATTAAGAAACAACAATAAACATGGGTGCACAAAAGGAAAAAAAAAAGGAGTGTGCGAAAATCAAAATTTTAATTTAATATTGGAAGGAATTAAGCGTTTTAACCATCTTTTTTTCGTTGCAAAAGTTATTTACCTATCTTAATTCTAACTCATTACCGCCCACTAGCAGTGATAGCCTTTCTGAATGAATAGATAAGGAAAAAAAGACATGGTTTATAAATCAAATGATCTGCGCAGAAAATGCAACCTATGATAAACATCATTAGAAACATGACATAACATGTCAATATTGAGAAGAGTTTTAGCAAATAAAAAACATAAAAGCAATTTAGAAACAGTGTTGAATTCAATCTGTCCAGAAACACCAACAGCTTCAGACTGCTCTATCATCTGCGAATTTGCATAACGGTAACTAAGATTTAACACGCGAACAGCTGAGATGCATCATGAGTAAGACGCAATTTAGTGGTTTATCAAATCTGACTGTTGAGATACAAGAAAGTAGAATGTTCAAAACAGATCCTCTTTACATTGACTCGAAATGATTTTCTTTCGTATCTAATCTGCATTCATTCTGTACAATACAAGGGCACTTGCTACGTAATATCAGACATTATTAAGGGGAGGAACTAAGAAGTTCTAAACAAATGAGCACGAAGAAGCAGAAATCTTCCAGCATGAAAATATCAGCCAACTAAGTTGCTTCTTTCACAAGCAAAATTGCAAGGTCTGTTACCTGATCTTGCTTTTATCACCCATCTTCGTATCATCTGAATCAGCCCACTACACCGACCTTCGAGTGCACTGACTACTTCGTATCCTCCCACTGCTGTGCCTTCCCCATCCTCTTTACATCAACATCTGTTTCAAACCAAAAAAGAAAGTTGCACCAAGTTTTCATGAGGTTAAAATTAAATCAATAGAAACATTCCAAACCATTATGCAGTAACCTATTAAGTTGCACAGGTAAAAGGTTACCTGTCTAACCATTGAATCCACCACTTTGCTTTAGCCTTTAGGGAGAACACAATCACTGGTCCAGAATGAGGAAGCCGCGCATTGGCAAAAGCAGACCTTTTCCACCACCACAACTTGTTAAGTCCACCCTCGAGCCAGCATTTGAATTTGGTTCATGAAGCAATGAATAGGAAGAGAACCAGAAATTCTGTCACAATCAACTAGACTTGTGCCTGATCGCCACCTTTTTTTGCTTCAACATATTCCGGAGCTAGCCTCACTTCGGTCCTCATGAATTAAGTCATCTAACCTGGTGGACTGTGAAACCCATCCAAACCTAAGCATGCTCTCAAAAATCCTGGCTGCTTTCTCCACATTCCCTAATTTGTAAAATCCGCGAACTAATGTGCTGCATGTAGCAAGACTGAGCATAAATCCTTGTTCTCCCATTTCATCAAGTGACTTCACTGTCTTGGAAAATTCTTCCCTCTGGAATAGTGTACCTGTCAGTGCATCAACCACTACACTGTTCGAGATTGCACCATTGACCAAAGTTTCATCCACCAGCCTTAAACATTTTACCAAATCACCCTCTTTGCAATAAGCATCAACCATCATACAATATGTAACTTCATTAGGCTTGAGTCCCCTCGCCACCATCTCCTCAAAAAGAGCAAACATCTTAAATCTGCTTCCCGTGCTATTGTATCCGTGTAAAAGTGAAGCATACAATAAAATATCTGGCGTCATATTCCTTTTCTGCATTTGCAGAAAGAGCTGTTCTGATTCTCTCATCAATCCCTCTTTGCAGAGGGAAACAATCAGAATCGTGTAGGTGACATGATCTGGTGTCACATGCTTATCCACCATATCTTCCAACAACTGTTTAGCTTCCATCATCCTCCCCAATTTGCAGAAGCCATCAATCAATGCATTGAAAGGAGAAGTGGCTGCAATGCCCTTCCCCACCATATCCCGAAATAAAGACAGGGCTTTCTCTAGGTCACGTGCCTTGCAGCACCCATCAATGAGGATGCAGTAGATGAAGCTATCTGTAGGGATCCCGTGTAGAAGCATCTCATCTAATAACTGAAATGCCTCGGATAATTTTCCGGATTTGCTATATCCATCCATCATTGTAGCATAAGTCACAGCATTAGGAGACAAACCCTTTCTGGAGATTCCATCAAACAGTTCTCTGGCTCTATCAGTGTCACCTGACTTACACAATCCATTAATCAAGGCATTATAAGTAACAATGTTTGGATCAACGCCTCTCCGGCACATCTGTTCAAGATGTTCGAAAGCCTTGTCCAAATTTCCCTGCTTACAAAGGCCAGATATGAGAGAGCTGTAAGTAAAAACATCTGGAACCAGATCCTTGCCAAGGAGCTCGGAGAAAATCCCCAGTGCTTCTTGAATTTTTCCATTCTTTGAGAGACCATGAATAATGACACTATAAGTTTTGATATCTGGGAGCACCCCTCGTCCAAGCATACACCTAAACGTAGAATATACTTCCGTTAAGTTACCCTCTTTGCAGTGCCCTTCAATCAGGGCTGTATAGATAACATCATTAGGAGCTATACCGCAACTCAACATCTCCTGGAAATACGTATTCGCAAGTTGCATTTTCCCCTCCTTACAGTACCCATGAATAAAAGCCCCGTAAGTATACGCATTAGGCTTTAATCCTCTCTCAACCATTTCCACGAAGTAAGTCCTGGCTTCGTCCATTTTCCTGGCTTTACAGAGGCCAATTATAAGAGAATTGTAGCAAAAGGCATCAGGCATGACCCCCTTTTCTGTCATTCCTTTTAGTACTTTTATTGCCTCTCCAAGTTTTCCTTCCTGGACATGACCTCTAATTACAGTTGTGTAGATAACAGCACCTGGTCTCAAACCTCTGCCAGTCATTTCCTTCAAAAGTTGATTAGCCCCTTGCATATCTCCACACCGGCTTAGGCCATTGATTATAGCTCCATAAGTGTACACATTGGGTGCAAAGTTCCTCTTCTTCATCTCGTTAAGTAACTCACAAGCCTTGACCATATTTTGCTCTCGACAATACCCGTCAATTAAAAACTTGTATGTCTGGGCATTAGGTCTAGTGCCCATAACATTCATCTCATTCAGGAGAGCTTCTGCCTTCTCCATCTTACCAATTTTAGACATCCCAGCAAAAATTGCATTACATGTGGAATCGCACAACTTAAAGCCACGAACAATTGTCTCATCTTTGATCCTCAGAGCCTCTTCCAAGTAACCTTCTTTCATCAATCCATCAATCAAGGCAGCGTAGCAGGTGTTGTCAGGACTCAAACCTTTATCATACATGTATTTCAACATCAATTTTGCTTCTGTTGATCTCTGCTGTCTGCATAACCCATCAACAAGTGCCGAATAAGTATACCTATCCGGGACCAATCCCTTCTCAACCATAGACTTCTTTACCGCTAAGGCTTCATCGACATCCCCAGCTCTACACAAACCACCAATCACCACATTATAGGTACTTAAATCTGGATTACCACCCTTCTCCTCCATCTCAAACAGAAACCTCTTTCCCTGCCCGGCATTCCCTGCCCTACAATGGGCATGGATCACATTGTAATAAGTGTAAAAATCGGGTTTCATTTTCGCCTCTAACATCCCATCATACACCTTCCAAAACAACTCCATTTTATTACACTTCAACAAATCATTCAACAGAAAATTGCAGCAATCCAATCTTGGCAGAATCCCAACTTTCCTAAGTCCCAGAAAAACATCAGCAGCCTCGTTCAACCGCCCCGCCGCCATAAAAGTTCTAATCAGAATCTCAAAAACAATCTTATCCGATCCATCACACTCACCATCTCTAAAACAACTAACAACAGAATCCAAAACTTCAAAAACCGGTTTTCGGGTCTTAACCATTCTATCTAACACAGCATTAGCCTGCTCAAACATCTTGGAATTGCACAGAACAACAGCAAGAATCGAAAAGGAATGCAAATTTTGGGGAAGACCCAGGTGGGTATCGGTCCATAGGAAGAAACTGAGGAGGCGTTTTGGGTCACCAACCTGGTGGTTCTGCTGCAGAACGGCTCGGACCACATGTGGGTTCAGCTTCCTGGGGAGGTGCGAGGAGTTGAGAACCAAGTGCCAGTCGCTGTGGTTTCTGAGGATGGTGGAGATTTCTCTCACTGTTTCATCATCGTCCTGTTTGAACGTCTCTGATTGCTGCGAGGTGGTGGTGCAGTATTTGATATGAATCACTAGTCTTGCTTTTGCAATACCAATTCGATTGCTCAGATGAAATGCAAAGAGATTTCCGTGAGAAAATAACCCCATTTTTATCTGATACCCCAACTTGTGAGCGACTCAGCTATGGCAATGGAGGCATGAGAGCAACACAAAGTCATCTGACGAAGGTGAAATGCGTAGAGGGAGAAAGAAGAGAGAGAGAGTGATTGGGCTGGACTATTTTGTAAAGTCTTGAACTTTGAAGCCCAATTCAAAAACCCAAATGGCCATGTACATTCTTCAGCTCCAAATTCTCATCTGCGGTTAGTTGCTGCCGGGTTCCCTCCTCCTTCTTCTGCCTCAAAGCTTCTTGAACTCGTAACCTCCATTAATGCACTGCAAACAACAAACGCTCCTTTGAATTCTGCAGAAAAATCCATGGATGCTCTGTAATTTTCCTATCTAATCAGCATCAGGTACATCTTGTTCAATCTGTTTTTTCAAATTGTTTGATGGGTTATGCAATTTTGGATCGTATATTTAATGGCTAATTTTCTTTCATTTATTTTGTTCAATGGACTTTTGTCTCTTTTTCGATTCATGAAGTGGGTATTATACAATTTGTTCAATGAGAAATGTGAAATTTACTTTGAAGCTTTGGTCTTTGAACTGTTGCTGCATAGGAAAGTGATAGAAGCCAGCAGGTATGAACTGGGTGAGGCAGAGAGTGCTGTGGTCAGTTGGGAGGCAGGGGCAGAGGCGTTTGCTGCATACTTACGATGCGCCGAGCGAAAGCTTGAAGACGAAGATTGCAGAGTTCGGGAAAATGAGGAGGAGGAGAAGCTCAAAGAAAGATAAACAATCGGTGTTCGTCGAGGTTCCGGAGTCCATGGCCTACCTCGACACAGCCACAATGCCCCAGATTCTCACTGCCGTTGGCATTGCCCTCTTCGCCAAGCTCCTCATGATGGTAAGAAAAATTAACTATATTTTTCTATCAATGTTTCCACAACCCCATTTGTTTATTTGCTTTCTGTTTCCTAAATTTTGTTGCTTTATTGTAATCTCCGAATAGAAATCGCATCTTGTGGAAAATTTGATTTTGATGATATTCATAGCTGTCTTTTGCACACTGCATTGTTCTGCCATTGTTATAGCTGCTTGTGTATTCCAAGAAAAGAATGGTTTCCTACTTGTTTGCACGTTATAAATGCTTGAGAATATTAGTTTCTTGTACAGATAAAAAGGATTAGATCAAGGCCGAAAGGTCAGATCAAAAAATTAGATCTTGGAAGTTATAATCTTGTCTTCTTACCTGTCACTGGTCATGTTTGATTCAAAGTAAGATGAAATACGTAAATGAATTATACCTTGATGTAGGTAATGTTTTGGATTTCGTTGGTTTTAAGTCTATATAGTGACTTATGTAACTGGCCTCTCATCGCTGGCAGTATGACGACTCAAGGTCCCAAGAATTGATTGAACGCAAAATAAAGAATGCTCCTGCTGAGCAAGGCACTGTTAGGATGCTCTCCCGAGAGGAATGGGAAGAAATTCGTGAAGTAAGACCGAGGACTCCATTTGAATCCAAGCTTGCTCGTCCAAATGCACGCTTAAGAACTGGAGAACCATTACGCATGGTGAGGCATAATTTATTTTTTACTCTTAACCAGTGCTACATATTTGTAACATTGTTTTTGCAGTCTTGGTCTTGCTGATCGTTGGATAATAGGCTAGGATCAGTCTTGTTTTCCTACATCAAATTGCAGTGTCATTTTGGTATATATGCAATGAAAAATGGTATAGCATCTCAAGTTTTATAACTAATGGCACCAGCTGATGTTCTCCCCCAAGCTGCCATTTACAGAATTTGAGTCTAGTTTTAGCGGGTCTGCTTATGCACATGAATGTTAGGTTACTGCTGGTTTTTCTAATGCACATTAATGTTAGGTTGCCGCTGGTTTTTCTAATGTGCATGAACTTTACGTTACTACTGGTTTTTCTAACATACTTGAGTGCTTAAGCAACCATGTATTTTTATTTTTGGTTTTCAATTGGCCATTTAGCACTTGGATATTTGCATACCTAGACTTGCACTGGTGACAAATTTGCTGACATTTTCACAAGTTCTGAACTATATATTTGCCTCTTGATCTGAGGAGTTTAAGTTGTATCATGTTTCTCACCCTTAATAGCTTCCAACCCGCGTAAAATTTTCTGTTGCAACCTTGCTATGCTTAACTGCTTTAGAAAGTATCATCTCTGTGATATTTTACTTCGGTGCTTTTTGTTTCATAATTTGGTTCACTGCACTAGAATGTAGAAAACCATAGATCTTAAATATTTTGATTTTAATGGATTTCTCTGAAAGAACATAAGTAGGAAATGTATATTCCATTGTTCCAAATGAAAACGGTTTGATGCTTTGTACATCTGCTACCCTTTATGTTTTGCTTCGGAGCAGCAAAAAAATGTTTGTTCACACATTTCTCGCAGGAGGATGTGAAGGATTGGACGATAGATGTGCTGACAGATGCATTTGCTCGGGTTGAAGAAAGCGTTAGACACACTTCCAAGTGACTTTTTCCCCATCTTTTGACTATGTAACATAGTGAATATCGAATTTTTTTAATCAGTCATACACAAAGCCTACTTTGGACCAATTCTAGGTACTTACGAGCCTCCAGAAGATAGCATCTATGAGTTGCTTCTGAAGGGATATCTTGCAGTCATGTGGATTTGATTTCTGGTATAATTTTGTGATGCTTTAATGCAGAAAGTATACTTCAAAGAACCATCACAAAGCAATGGTTGCAAAGGCAGGTGGGAAAGGATGCATTCTGCTTGCACGTTCCATCTGATGGTAGCCAGAGCTTGCAGAGGCAAGTGTGTACGATTTTGTTCAATTTGTTGGGCCTACTTGCTCTGTTATGTTTGCTTTCCAAAGGCAAACTCTGATATCTTATCTCATTTTCCTATCTTCACAGTAAAAAGTAAAACCTTTGGTACCACCTGAGATGTGATTGTGGTAGTATTTAAAGCCAATCACGTATTTAAAGCCCTCCTCCTCTAATATCAAGTGATTAAGAGCACTTATCTTACACATGGATTTTTTCTTTTTTTTTTTTTTTTTTTTTGGTGAAACAACTAATTCTATTAAAGACAAAGCACACTAATACAAAGTGAGGCAAGTTCGAAGACAATCCATAACACTAAAGTAAAAGTGCAGCCCATTACAAAAGTAAAGAAACAAGCTCCAAAAGCAAGACCAAAACAATGCCCTAATGGAAACCCTAGATCTGGAAACGAGAGTCAGCCTCCTCCACCAAAATAGCAGCACCACCATCGCTAAGTCCGCTGCCATTGGTAAGAAAAACCAACGAAGCGCAGGGATGAACGGAAAATGGGGGTGCGCAAGCCACCTGCACTAAAAGTCTCCCATAATCCTACCAAGTAGTGCGAATTGCACTTTAGCAGCCACAGAAACCCAAAGCACGCCTTCAACCAAAGTCCATGGAGGAAGAATAAGGAGCCGAATAGCCGAACCAAGTGCAGATGTTCGACTCTCCCTTCCTTAGTATTGTTTTATCAAAAAGTAAAACGTTCAACCCTCGATTGCCAATTACGCCAAATTTTTGTCATTACAAATGATATTACTGTTATAAACTACCAAAGAGAAGAAAAAGATTATCAAAATAATGCACGACTTGCTCGGTGAGTACCAATTAATGCCAATTGAGTCATAAAGAATCGGAAAGCCAAGAATGTCGGTTTGCAACATCGTTCTCTGGGTTTTTGTGTTTGCCACTACCCTTTCAAATAGAACTCAATTTTTGCCCTTTCAAAAAGTGCAAGTGGATATGTGTGTTCCAACTCGTTGCAGGAAAAGAGAGATTTTATTCAATTTCTAGCATTTGGATTGCACTTTTTAGTACAAGAACTAGAACTTGCTGCTCAAGGCCACTCATTTCTCAATTGAGATTGCGGGGGACAGTGATGCAATTTACACTATGCTATTCCTAACCACATATATTCCACCCTCACTAAAAGGTTTATTCATCTATTGAAAATATGGCCCATGCTAGAGCCCAGAGGTGCTTAAAATTTTAAAATTTAGTTTTCGAGTGCGGTAATGTGAGAATCACTAAATTTGCTAATCAAATGTTGTATGCATGTTAGCACCTTATGGTTTGTGGCCTAGTTTTTGGATAAATCAAATCAGAATAAAGGAGTTTCTAATCCGATCAAAAGAATTTCGAACGAGAATTGCCTTCCAATTCTATTTTTAAAAAAAAAAGAAAATTGGAATTTCAACATCCATTATAATTTCAAAAAATCAGAATTTATTGGAAACTTTAGAAGCAACATATTTCATTATGAGTAATGCTACACTTACCACATTTGTATCACTACTCTAATAGAGGTAGGACCACCAATACACGCAAGTCCCACTTTTATTAGAGCATTATTATGAATATGTGTGAAAAATATAGTAAAAGTAGCATTTTTGTTTCATAATTTTTTTATTACTTACTCAAAATTTTGAGTATGTCCTACAATTTGACAGATCAAAATTGAAAACCGAGTGAAACCCCGAAGAAACTATCATATGCTAACACAGGAGCTACAAAGTCGCATTTTGCAAGAAGAATTATAATTAGTGGAGTGTTACTTTTGAAAAAAAACTATTTCAAATTTGAAATTTCAACATTCATACTAAGGTATGTACTGACTACTAGTTTGTCATTCTAAATAGTTCAAACTTGAATAACACAGTATATTTTGAAACTTTCAAGATTTTAATATATATTCCTATTCCAATTCCAATTCCAATTCCAATTCTAATTTTAAGATACAACTAGAGGAGAGACTTTCTAGTGTGTCCATAATACCGGACGGAACCTGTACACATGTCAGTATCTTATATGTTAGAAATACACAAGCGTGCGCCCTTTATGCAAAGGGGTTTTATTTTTTATTTTTAAATGGGGATTAAGTGTGGGTCCCACTTCACATCGAACTTCAATGATCCGAACCATCTATTTTGTAAGTCTTGATTCATAGATCATTCTTGCAAAAATTCAATTCAATTCGAAACCATTTGCCTATTTAATTATCAAGATGAATTTTCATTGTTTCTTATATAACAAAGTATTCGTTAATTTATTTGAACCAAATTAGATGTCTTAAACATTTTCAATTTGGCTAATATTTTGTAAGGATGATCTGTGAGTTAAAAAATAGACGGTTCGGATCGTTAAAGTTTATGTAGTGTGGACCCCACAACTAATTTCCATATTTATAAAAAATGGGGATCCCTTCCATTAAAGATTTCATATATATATATATATATATATATATAGGTATTTGTTGATTTGCCTCCTGAACTTGTATGGAGCTGCCAATTTCTCCCTTGAACTTTAATTTTAGCCAATTACCCCCTTGAACTTTATGATTAGCCAATTCCCCCCCCCCCAATTGGCGTTAGAATTTAAAAACTTTCATTCAATTTTTCATCCATCCATTTTTTTCACTCTTTTTGCCCTCATAGTTGTTTCCGTGATCAAGATAGATGGAAAATTAGATGAAATTTTTTTAAAATCTAACGCCAAGAGAGAAATTGTCTATTTAGAAAAAGGGTTGCAAATTAAAATGGGTACAAACTAAAAAGTAAAAATATATGATACAAAATTTAGCCATAAATATAAATATATCAAATGTAACGTTTTTAACACTAAATGAATATCTCTACCAAGTAGTTCTTTTTTGAGGTCACCATTAGCGGTGGGCTATGAATGTTATGTGAGAGGGGTTGGGACACATATGAGACCGATAAATATGAAAAAAATAATAAAAAATAATAAAAAAAAAGAAAAGTAGATGAAGTAGGGTGGTTTTATTTGTGTCTGGAGCCGTATGGATTGCATGATTCGCCACATCTGACCATAAAATTTCTCCTTTACAAGTGGGTGGAAAATAAGCAAATTAATCTCAAAATTTCAGACACCTGGATGCAGTATTTTTTTTTATTGTTAAATAAAAAGAAAAAAAGGCTTGTGCTCCAATAGTATTTTAGGTTATCCCCTTCCAAAAATATTAATATTATTTTAGGTTATCCCCTCCCAAAAATATTGATATCTTGCCCATGATTCCCTGGATGGATATATCTGATTTTTTGGGTCTTTTATGTATACTACAAGGAACCATGACCAAGCTTTATTTTGTTTTCTTATTATATGCACTTTATTTTTCTTCTTCGTTACTCAATATTCAAATGTAAGATATTCAATCAAATATTCAGCCAAGAAATTAACATTCAAGTGGAAAAAAATATATATATAAAAAGATAAACACATGAAACATATGATAAGCTGATAATTTAAAACGCACCACTTTACTAAATTAGAGTGTAAAAAGACGGATAGACTGCTTTAACAACAAGAACGACTACAAAGTTAAAACTAGATATCAACCTACATTAACCATTATGTTAAAAATTAATACCATTATTATTAGAACCCGACGTGATGTGGTAGACGTACCAAAGCATGCAAATTATCCTGATTAGGGTTTTGTATTCGGGTAAATTAAGATGGGTTAATTCACCTAGGATATGTTCAAAGTCGGGCATGCATGTCGGTTTTATCACTTTAAATATGAACAAACAAAATGCCTGCAAATTTACGCTTTCTTTGACCAGGCCCTCCCTCCATTTTAAAAACCATGAATGTCGTAAATGTCAAAAAAAAATTCATGTATAATTTCAACCCTTTATACACACTGTATTCCATGTTTGAAAATTAAACAAAGTTACTTTTGCTCTTTGGGTTTTTCTTTTACTTTTCTTGCTAAGATTTCCAAGCATATATATTTCAATAATTGCATGTAGCTCCCATGCAAGCACATAGAAATGTCAAAAGTAAGATTTCTGATATTGGCACAACTACTCACTTTGATTTCTGAGATTTAAAATTGATGGAAGTAGTTTTTGAGATTGTCCACAAACAATCATTTTGGTCACTACGTGAAAATTTTCCGTTAAATTGAAAGTATCTTTATCAAATCAAATTGTCCCCTTGAATTGATGGTTTTTTTTTTTCAAATTAGGGGAGATTTTCAATTTATTATTTTAATAAACTTTATGTAGTGATTTTCACGCATTTTTTTTTATTTCTTACGCGTTCCTGTTAATCATGACAATTGATTTTATTTAACTTTATTCAAAGTCTCACGCTGATTAAGAATCAGGTACTTTGAACTTGGTTTACGCGATACTATTGTTACGACGAATTTGTAAGTTAGGATAAGACGTGCTACGTGTCACATCCCACCCCGGGTCCCCACCACATCCCTGGCTCGACTCCACCGTAACACGATATTGTCCGCTTTGGGTCCGGTCCACGCTCTCACGGTTTTGTTTCTGGGAAATCACATAAAAACTTCCTGATGGGTCACCCATTATGGGATTGCTCTTGCGCGCTACTCGCTTAACTTTGGAGTTCCGACAGAATCCGAAGCCAGTGAGCTCCCAAAAAGCCTCGTGTTCGGTAAAGATGGGAATATACATATAAGGCTTACAGGATCCACTCCCCTGGCAATGTGGGATGTTACAATCCACCATTCTTAGGGGCCCAACGTCCTCGTCGGCACACATCCGGCCAATGATTGGCTCTGATACCAAATTGTCACAACCCAACCCGGACCCCCACCACATCCCGACCTTGACTTTACTGTAGCACGATATTGTCCGCTTTTGGCCCCGACCACATCCTCAAGGTTTTGTTTCTGGGAACTTACACGAGAACTTCCCAGTGGGTCACCCATCATGGGAATGCTCTCGAGCGCTACTCGCTTAACTTCGGAGTTCCTACGAAACCCGAAACCAGTGAGCTCCCAAAAGGCCTCGTGTTAGGTAAAAATAAGAATATACATATAAGGCTTATAAGATCCACTCCCCTCGATGACGCTGGTAAATTACAAGATTGTGACTATGGGAGGGCCTCTATGAGTT